GAGGCGGCCCTTAAAGCTTCCCGAGTCTAGAAACAGACCAATAAACCTGCATGGTGGTGACACCATAAAGCCCCATCTGGGATGCAGAATGCAAATGGGTTGTTGGACTCAGCCCGGCCTCTCGCCTTTCTTGTTGGGAGATATGGCACAATTTGAAAGGCTGGAAATCCAGTCTGTCTCAGGATTTGTTCATTCCTGAGTGTTCTTCAGGTTCTTTCTTTATAAAGCTTTTTTTATCCCAGAAAATGTCCATGCAGTCGCACAGTTTGCCAGTGGGACAGATCTTGACCAGACATACGAACTGAGCCATAATGTTCAAACACCTTGTTTGCATCCAGCCACCCACCACAGCCAACACCAAATACCTTTGGGTCATCAGCCTCAGGTTTTTCAGTCTCTGAATCGTCATCTTCCTACAAGACAAAGAATTTAGAGGATTAAGCTTAAAGGAGCGGGCCTGAGGAGTCTCACATGCATAACTAGGGGCTGGAGCAAACAGCCCATGTACCCAGCTGGGGTCATCCCACGGAGAATCCCTCCCCTACCATATAACTCAGAACCAGAGAGAGATAAGGGGAAAAAAGAGATATTCTGGGGGTGGGGACAAAAAAGCATCAGCAGCTCAAAGTTAGGTTACTCTAATGGTGAGACAGTCCACATCAATGAAAATGCCCCAGGTAAAAATCACAGACATCAAAGTGTGCTTCAGGAAAGAGTAAGATCAGACCACACAATAAAACAGGCAGCGTGTTTCCACTGAAATATCAGTTACTTCAAACCAGGATTATGAGCCTTCTTTGCTTTTCATATACATAGGTAAATCAGACTCAGACCTACCGTAACACTGTTCAACACCAAGTGCCAAGACTTACACACAGCTCTATCACAGCACCTCAACCAGCATTTGCACTTACTAACATCAACACAGGAAGATAGGCATCATGACCAGAGCAAGTGACTTGGGAAAGGCAGGACTAAATGGCAATGCCCAACCTTTCAAGAGTCCTAGTTGAGTTGGCTCTGCCTCTACCCAAGTGCTCACAGAACTGCCAATGACCCATTCTACCCAGTCCTGTTCCTTATCCAAATGAGGTCAGCCTGACACAAAGGATCACACATGGTAAGGCATTCTCCAAAGTGAGCCCACCATTCCACTGAACACTAATGTTGATGCTATGAAGGTCAAAGATCAGGAGCAGATGCTGAATCAGCTACCTTATTAGCTGGCGAAATCCATGTCACCTCCACTACCCAGAACATTCCCAATGCAGAGAAGCCTTTAACTGAATACCCCAGCAAAAAATGATTTAATTTTAAACTGTTATTTTCAACAAAGCTACACTTCAGCCCAAACATTACAGAGCACTCCACATATTAATATAAATGCCACTTGAGAGACTTGAACAAACTAGACTGATGATTTGGAGACTTAACTGTCCTGTAAGGTGCCAGTGAGTCCAAGGCTTTAAATGCAATTTCCATTATCTTCTTAAAATGAAATCAGTCATGCCAAATAAACAGAGATGGAGCTCAGACAAATACAATCACATTTCAGAATGTCTACAGTAAGATCTGATGAGAGGATTTTACTAAAATATGAAACGAAGCTTTAACATGATGAAAATTCATTCTAAGCAAAGCAAATATGAGACAACACTTTATAAACACATTATGCAAATGTACTAAAGAAAAGAGTTATGGATATTAAGCCAGAATGTGGGTACTTCAGAAAAGTCAGAAGAGAAAACAACTTGCAAAACTTTTCTGAATAATTTCAGTCAACTCTGAATTACCAGTATTAATGGATGGGGCTAAAGGCATGAAAATATCTCCCAAATTGCATAATGTACAAAGTACATTTGTTTGTTGTGGAAAGAATTTAATGCTAACATTTACATACCAACATGTAACAAATTTCAAACAAATAATATATTGTGAGTGTTTCAATTAAAACTGTTGCTAAGTAGTCAGATTCGACATCCAGACTCAACACTGCGTGTCTTATGTTAATGCACCAGCCTCAATTTAAATTCTGGCTCATGTTGCTCAGGTGATTATGTATCTAAAGCCTTTCTTGTTAATAATTGCACAGGTTCTCCTTCGCCAGCACCTACTAAACTTCAGGCAAGATTTGTGATCAAGAACTAAGGGCACCATGATAAAAAGTGCCAAGTAAAATGTCAAAAAAGAAGTTAAGAAGGTCAGGCATGGTGGCTCATGCCTGTAACCCCAGCACTTTGGGAGGGTGAGACAGGGGAATCGCTTGGGGCCAGAAGTTTGAGACCAGACTGGGAAACAGTAAAACCCCATCTCCACAAAAAAATTTTTAAAAAATTTTAAAACTTGGGCCGGGCGTGGTGGCTCATGCCTGTAATCCCAGCACTTTGGAAGGCTGAGGCCGGTGGATCACCTGAGGTCAGGAGTTCAAGATCAGCCTGGCCAACAGGGTGAAATTCTGTCTCTGCTAAAAATACAAAAATCAGCTGGGGATGGTGGCAGATGCCTCTAATCCCAGCTACTCAGGAGGCTGAGGCAGGAGAATCACTTGAACCTGGGAGGCGGAGGTTGCAGTGAGCCGAGATCGCACCACTGCACTCCATCCCGGGTGACAGAGCAAGACTCCAACTCATTAAAAAAAAAAAAATTAGCTAGGCATGGTGGCTCCCACCTGTAGCCCCAGCTACTGAGGAGGCTGAGGTAGGAGGATCACTTGAGCCCAGGAGTTCAAGGCCTTAGTGAATTATCAATGATCACACCACTGCACTCCAATCTGGGCAGCAGAGTGAGACCCTGTCTCAAAAGAGAGGAAGAAACAGGCGAAAACTAATTTTCCTTGCTAATCTTAAATAAACTGACAAGATTTCAATGATCCCAACCAAGATTAAAAATAATGCAGAGTTGGTTGTAGATATAAATGATAAACCAATTAGGATGAACACCTGCTATAAATGGAGTAAATCATTTAAATAGGGAAAAATCAACAGAAAATACCAATTGATATCTGGGTTAAATAAAATAATCCATGATCTTTTCCCCCAAATTTCAATTCAAAGATTAATAAAAAATGATCCATGTGAAAATAAATTTTCAAACAGAACTACTGATATCCAACCCAGTTTCTTCCACTAATACCAAACAAAAGAGGGGAGCAGGGGATGAAGCTAGCCATGAAATGGAACACTGTTGGCACAGTTCCAAAATCTGACAAATGAAATTGTGCTTTCAGTAGCTCTGAATTTGAGAGATTTACCTACCGACTGTCTACTGTTCTCATCCTCTTCTTCTTCATAACCATCTTCATCACCACCTAGACGAGAAAAGTCATCCTCCCCATAGGCATCAGATACCAATCCGCCTTTCTCTTCTGAAAAGTTAAAAATAAAGAAAGAAAAAAAAAATCAAGAGTTACAATGTAAGAAAAATGTCCAGAGATTTGAGTGGTCAGGACTATCTCTGAAGATACAAGGGAAACCTAAATTTCATGTTAAGTGACCATAGGCCCAGATTTGGCTCTTTTTTTTTTTTTTTTTTTTTTTTTTTGAGACGGAGTTTCGCTCTTGTTAACCCAGGCTGGAGTGCAATGGCACGATCTCGGCTCACCGCAAACTCCGCCTCCTGGGTTCAGGCAATTCTCCTGCCTCAGCCTCCTGAGTAGCTGGGATTACAGGCATACGCCACCATGCCAAGCTAATTTTTTGTATTTTTAGTAGAGACGGGGTTTCACCATGTTGACCAGGCTGGTCTCGATCTCTTGACCTCGTGATCCACCCGCCTCGGCCTCCCAAAGTGCTGGGATTACAGGCTTGAGCCACCGCGCCCGGCCGATTTGGCTCTTAAGAAGACCATCATTTAGTGAATAAAATCATTAAAAGGGCAGGGAACAAAACCAAGTATTAAATTCAGTTTCGAATGCTACAAACACGAGATTAACACTATAAAGTTTATGGGAAACCATCGGAGAACTTTCTGACTGCAAGAGACCACACAAACCCACAAAACATGAAAGTACCTAACCTAATCCAATCCCCTTCACTTTCCAGATGAGGAAGCTAAGGTCCAGATACGTTAGGTAACTTGTTCTCTATTGTCCCAAAGAAATCTATTTCCAGTGTGAAACAAACATTGTGCTTCTCAACCTGAGGAGAACACCACCGATAGGTTTTAAAAACTCATAAAATTAAAAAAAAAAAAAAAATCACCCAGGATCCTTAAAAAGTTCACAAATGCTCACATCCTACCCCAGTTTTACCGAATTAGATCATTTCACTTTGGGGATCAGATACGTTTATTTTTAAAAGCTCCAAGATGTGTTTAGGGCACATTGCTAACTAAAAGTTATAAATTTAACAATCTTTACCATCTTCCACCTATGTTTTATTCATCGCTCTCCCTCATCAAACGAGCCCAGAGCGGAACAGGCAGTGGCTCAGCAGCCGCTCCCTCTTTGTTCATCCCTCTGCCCATCACGATAACCGGCATGGAGACTTTCAGTAAGTTTAGGCAGATTAATCGAAACAATGGGAAGGAGATTCTTCACTCCTAGCACAGAGTCTCTAATGCTCTATCTCATCCAGGACCCCGGACATAATTCGAGGTGCGGTACTTGGAGCACAATGACCATCTTGTTCCCTCCCGCCCAGCGAGGGGTACAGTATTCCGGGCAGACACCCGATTCCCTTTTCCAGCTTCCCACTTGGGCCTCACCAGCCGCGCTGCCCACCGCCTCGATTCCAGTCTCGCCATCAGACTCGGGCTCTGAATCTTCCGCGTAAACTGCCAGAGATGACAGAACATTCCTCTTCCCCGCCATCTTATTCCCACATCCCCGGCGCGGCTCACTCCTATGACTTGAAGATGCCGACTTCCGGGCGGAAAGGCAATTTCTTTCGTATCCCAGGAGATCCCGCGCCAGACTGAAAACCAATCAAAACGGCAGTTTTCTGCGCCTGGCTCCGCCCTCATGGTAACGCTCGCGCTACATCATCACTGTGCGACGGATGTAAGATTGTGTGGGTTCTAGAAAAAGCTGAATTCCCAGCGCTTTGGCTTCTCAGAATTGGGATTGTGTATAGAGGTCTTCGAATAGTTCCGGAACCAGCCGGCATCAGCGGTCCAGTAAGGGCCTTTTATTCCCGGGCGGACCACGGCCGGCCCTGATATCTTAGGGTGAAGAGAGGGAGGCGTCGGCCGGCCAAGAGAGAAAATTTGCGGATCTTGGACTCAGGAATAAGGGAGAAGGGGGTCGGGGTCCCGGGGTGGAAGAGCGGTCGTTGAAGCAGGTGGATCTTAGAAAAGCAGTTCCCCCTTCCCCAAACTGTTCTGAAGACATTTGTGTTTCTTCTGTTGATCTTGTTTCTATCTGTGCTATACCGTGGCCTGGAAGAGTTCAACGTTTTTATATTCATTGAGCGTAAAAGTGGAGATGTTAATTACCCAGGAATGTATTGCTTGAGTCAATTCACCTTCAGCTTTATTACTTAAACATAGCATTTAAGTGTAATATAGGAAGTTTTTACTCAGAAAAAGCTGTATTTTTAAAGCAAAACAGGGTTCTCGTGGCAACCTTTTACCGCCTTTGCCTTAATCTTTGGCCACTGTTCTTGGCTAAGATGAGCACCCACCATACCTCCTTTCCTTTTGACCCTGAGCGGCGAGTCCGGAGTACGTTGAAGAAGGTCTTTGGGTTTGACTCTTTTAAGACGCCTTTACAGGAGAGTGCGACCATGGCTGTAGTAAAAGGTAACATTACCAAGCTACCTTCCTTTAAATTCATGCTGGCTATACCATAACACTGCGGCAGAACACTCTCCTCCTGACCCTTTGTACCGCCTCACCTTTGGTCCATAACTAGATTTGAAAGTGTGTGAGAGTTGTCATCCAAAGCTTGTAGTTTTGTTTATTTGTTTTAATTAGAGATGGGGTCTCACTGTGTTGCCCAGACTGGTCTCCAAATTCTGCTCTCTGGCAGTCCTCCCACCTCGGCCTCCTGATATGCCGGGATTACAGGCATGAGCCATCACGCCTGGCCCGAAGTTTGTAGTTGTAATGGCAGAACCACCCAGCTGTTCAATAGTTCATAGCCAGATCTACACATGGTCTTTGAAAAACAGTTTAGATTCCCATTATTGTTTGTCTGTACACACAAACGAACAGCAGCAGTGACGGTGGCAGGAATAACTTAGTCACTGGCCTTGTAGAGAATTCCCTTGTGGAAGATTAAGTGGCCTGAGTCCCAGATAAAGAAAGAGTAATAATGTTATAAACCTGAGATTTGGTGACAAGTGAAAGTTGCCAAGAGGCAAGCAGCAATGTAATATTAATGATACATGTTTAAACAAAAGCCCTAAGGAATGGCCTTCCATGTCTACACAGGTGTGCCCACTCACCTAGCAGTACTCTGCTTCCATGGCTGTTTAGTTCAATAATTGATACCGCAGCAGACTCAGACTTCTTAAGTCTTGTTTTTATTACCATTACTAGAAATGGTTTGTGCACGTATCCAAATTTCCCAGGATCCCTGCCTTTTTTCATAGAAAGGACAAGAGGGGAATTGTGAGACCCTCCCATGTGGGAGACACTCTGCTAGGTGCTTTTCCTATATTCTCATTTAATTTTCAACAACCTCAATGAAAAGGCAGGAAGCACTGAGATATTGTTGTCTTGTATTTTTGCAGGTAACAAGGACGTCTTTGTATGCATGCCCACAGGGGCAGGAAAATCCCTGTGCTATCAGCTACCTGCACTGTTGGCCAAGGGCATCACCATTGTAGTCTCTCCTCTCATTGCGTTGATTCAGGTGAGGCTTAGGGCAATATAGATGGTAGCCCAAAAAGATTCGGGGAAGGTGTTTTGATGCTGGAAATTTCACTTCTCTATTGGTCTTTTGCCTCTTCTTTTATCTTCTTTTTTTCCTTTGAGTCTCACTCTGTTGCCCAGGCTGAAGTGCAGTGGCGCAGTCTCAGCTCACTGCAGCCTGTGCTTCCTGGGTTCAAGCAATTCTTGTGCCTCAGCCCCGCAAATAGCTGGGATTACAGGCATATGCCACTATGCCTGGCTAATTTTTGTATTTTTAGTAGAGATGAGGTTTCACCATGTTGGCCAGGTTGGTTTCAGACTTCTGACTTCAAGTCATCTGCCTGCCTCGGCTTCCCAAAGTGCTGGGATTACAGGCATAAGCCACCACACCTGGCCCTGCCTCTTACTTTTTATGATTTGCCTATCTCATTCTCTATATTGGGTTTCTGTGTTTCCCCAGTGTAGCATTCTCCACTGGTGCATATCACTCTAGGGGGTTACGAATGACTCCTCTGAGGTCCCTCACCCTTCTTTATTATTTTTTTTGTCCAGAGGAGTATGAAACTGTATTTGTAGGCCGGGCATGGTGGCTCAAGCCTGTAATCCCAGCACTTTGGGAGGCCGAGGCGGGTGGATCACGAGGTCAAGAGATCAAGACTATCCTGGTCAACATGGTGAAACCCCGTCTCTACTAAAAATACAAAAATTAGCTGGGCATGGTGGCACGTGCCTGTAGTCCCAATTACTCAGGAGGCTGAGGCAGGAGAATTGCCTGAACCCAGGAGGCGGAGGTTGTGGTGAGCCGAGATCGCGCCATTGCACTCCAGCCTGGGTAACAAGAGCGAAACTCCGTCTCCAAAAAAAAAAAAAAAAAGAAACTGTATTTGTACACACATAAACACTCAGTCTCGTGTGCACACATGTGTACTCATGATGCTGGGATAGAAGTTGCCGATGGATAGATAGGTTGATATGGAGAAATCCAGTGTCTTGCTTATTTTGGTAAGGGTACAGTATGAAACAGAAAAAAAGATGAGAAACTGGCTAGAGCCTTGTTAAGAGCCACTCTACAGGTGTTCTGACTATTTAAGGCCTGCAGATGGGCTGATAGAATCGGAATTGAGGAAGTGTGGCTGTGTGGGTAAGAGCCATTCACCATGGAGAAAGGTAGAGAGGGAAAAACAGTAATAGCTTGGTGAATGTTCACCAGGTCCTAGGCTTTGTGCTTTGTGTGTTACATACATTAATTTCATCTCTGAGATGTAAATTTTAATTAATACAACAATTCTATTAGATAGAATTGTGTATATTGTTCAGAGGGTAAGAAACAGTGACTGGGCTTGTGGTGATTAAGTGAGCCAGGATTAAATCTAGGTCTGTTTGACCTCAGAGCCTGTCCCCTAAACCACTTTACCTTCCATACAGGCTGAGCATCCCTAATGCCAAAATCTGAAACCTGAAATGCTCCAAAATCCAAAAAATTTTGTTGCTGATATGACACCGCAAGTGGAAAATTCCACACCTTTCTGACCTCATGTGATGGGTTGCAGTCAAAACTCAGTCAAAACTCTTTTTTCATGCCCAAAATTATGAAAAATATTATATAAAATTACATCTAGCCGGGTGCGGTGGCTCAAGCCTGTAATCCCAGCACTTTGGGAGGCCGAGGCGGGTGGATCACGAGGTCGAGAGATCGAGACCATCCTGGTCAACATGGTGAAACCCCGTCTCTACTAAAAATACAAAAAACTAGCTGGGCGTGGTGGCGCGTGCCTGTAATCCCAGCTACTTAGGAGGCTGAGGCAGGAGAATTGCCTGAGCCCAGGAGGCGGAGGTTGCGGTGAGCCGAGATCGTGCCATTGCACTCCAGCCTGGGCAACAAGAGTGAAACTCCGTCTCAAAAAAAAAAAAAAAAAAAGATTACATCTAGGTTATATGTATAAGGTATAAATGAGAGAAAAAATGAATTTCATTTAGACTTGGGTCTCATCCTCAAGATATCTCATTATGTATATGCAATATCTGCAAATATTCCCAAATCCAGAAATATCTGAAATCTAGTACACTTTGGTCCCAAGCATTTGGGATAAGGGATATTCAACCTATACTACTTCTATGCAAAGAGAAGTCATATTGGAGAATGGGGGGAGGACAATTTATGACTAGGAAATCCTCTAGGGACTTGCAGTGATGTTTACCTGAGTCCTGAGGGCCAATTATAGCCCCTTTCTCTTCTCTTAGGACCAAGTGGACCACTTGCTAGCCCTAAAGGTACGAGTAAGTTCCCTGAACTCGAAGCTCTCTGCACAGGAAAGGAAGGAGCTGCTTGCTGACTTGGAGCAAGAAAAGCCCCAGACCAAGATTCTGTACATCACCCCGGAAATGGCGGCTTCATCCTCCTTCCAGCCCACCCTGAACTCCCTGGTGTCCCGCTACCTGCTGTCTTACTTGGTGGTGGATGAAGCTCATTGTGTTTCCCAATGGGGGCATGACTTTCGTCCTGACTACTTGCGTCTGGGTGCCCTGCGCTCCCGCCTAGGACGTGCCCCGTGTGTGGCTCTGACTGCCACAGCCACCCCACAGGTCCAAGAGGACGTGTTTGCTGCCCTGCACCTGAAGCAACCAGTTGCCATCTTCAAGACTCCCTGCTTCCGGGCCAATCTCTTCTACGATGTGCAATTCAAGGAACTGATTTCTGATCCCTATGGGAACCTGAAGGACTTCTGCCTTAAGGCGCTTGGACAGAAGGCTGATAAAAGGGTGAGGCACTGAGGGACAAGCAGCTGCTAGAGCATTGGGGTGCAATATGGAGATGGAGATGGGTCTTCTAAGACCTTTGCTTTTTCTAACTTCCTCAGCCAGGCTTCTTAAAACTCGTGCACAAAGATAGTTGTCCCTTTGGTTTCCTGGCATTGTCCTTCTTACTGGGGTTCCCTTGTCCTGGATCCTTCTTGGAAGGCAAGCAGCCAGCCTCTCTGTGTGAGGCCTCTGCAGACCCATGCAGAATTAGAGAGGAGGAACCAGAGAAGTTAAGTAGGTTGAGTTTTGAGCAGCTTTGGGCCTGCTTTTAAAATTTTTAAATTAAAACATTCATAGGTAATAAGGATTATCTGTAAATCTGTTGCCCAGGCTGGAATGCAGCCTCTAACTCCTGGCCACAAGCGGTCTTCCCGCCTCTGCCTCCTAAGTAGCTAGGACCACAGGAGTGTACCACCATGGCCAGCTAATTGAAAAATTTTTTTTATAGACATGGGATCTTTCTGTGTTGCCCAGGCTGGTCTCTGATTCCTAGCCTCAAGTGATCCCCCCACCTCGGCCTCCCAAATTGCTGGGATTGCCGGCATGAGCCCTTGCAGCCAGTCTGGTCCTGCTTTATATAAAGTGGCAGAGCCTTGCTGGGTGTCCTGCCTCAGAGGGGACCGTGAAGCTGACGAGGGAAGGAACACATAGCTTCTTTTAGAGCAGGGTGCACTACATTGGGCCGATTGTTCTGTTCTTGCCATGCTTATTTTCTTCCTGCATCTCCCCATTCAGTTGTCTGGCTGTGGCATTGTCTACTGCAGGACTAGAGAGGCTTGTGAACAGCTGGCCATAGAGCTCAGTTGCAGAGGCGTGAACGCGAAGGCTTACCATGCAGGTAAGGGGCGCCCAAGGCCACGTGGGTCTCTTTACCCTCAGAGGCTTCTCAGCAGGTCTCTTGTTCTTTACAGATCCTGATTATCAGGTGACCCACCGTCTTATCGCAGATACTCAGGCAAATCTAAAGTGATTCACTTAAAGCCTCCAAAAGGAGTCTAGACATGAATGAAGTCTAAAATGAGAATTGTGACTCCTGAGTTCTTACTGTGTGCCTACCCAGCAGCAGGTGATGAGGCTTTTTGTTCGTTTTTGTTTTTTGAGATGGAGTTTCACTCTTGTTGCCCAGGCTGGACTGCAATGGCGTCATCTCGGCTCACCGCAACCTCCGCTTCCTGGGTTCAAGCAATTCTCACCCTCAGCCTCCCAAGTAGCTGGGATTACAGGCATGCACCACCATGCCCAGCTAATTTTGTATTTTTAGTTCGAGACTAGTCTCCATGTTGGTTAGGCTAGTCTCGAACTCTCAACCTCAGGTGATCTGCCTGCCTTGGCCTCCCAAGTGCTGAGGTTATAGGTGTGAGACACTGCGCCTGACCTGGTAATGAGTTTTTGCAAGCCCAGGTAATAGTGTTGTAGGAAGAGCAAAAGCTTTGGAGGCCAACAGGTTTGGGTTTGAATCATGGCCCCGACGTTAACCGAATGCTCCATGCCACACATGGACTAGGGTCTTTGTGTCTGTCAGCTGAGGTTCAGTAAAGTTAAGTGCCTTACGTAAGATCAGACAGCTGGGAGGTGAAGGATTCAGGGTTTGTGAAGTGCCTAGCACAGTGTCAAACCCAAAATAGACCTCGGGTAAACCCGAGGGAAATGTGAGTTGCCTTCTAAATCTTTCTGTCTTTTATAGGGCTGAAGGCTTCTGAAAGAACGCTGGTGCAGAACGAGTGGATGGAGGAGAAGGTCCCTGTAATTGTTGCAACCATTAGTTTTGGGATGGGAGTGGATAAAGCCAACGTCAGGTGAGCTTTGGTTCTTGCCCTGCCTTCCCGGTCTGGTCCTGGCACAGGGTGGATTGCCTAGTGCTGTGCCCAAAGGACCAGATTCCTGTGCTCCTTCGAGGGCCAGAGGAGAAGGAAGTTTCAGGAGGTAGTCCTTAGAACACAGCCTGAATGTGGACAGTTCCCATGTGGCCTGCTCCCAGGTGACTGCACAGCGAGGTTCTGCCACCCCCAGGATGGGGCAGTATGCAGTTCGTCAGGCTTGTCCTTTCACACAGCCCAGTTCACTCATATCTCAGTAGGCAGATCCTATGAGGAGGTGGGAATAAAGTAACTATAGTTGTGCACCTCATATTGATGTTCTGGTCAATGACAGAGTGTGTAGACTGGGATCTTGTAAGGTTATAATGGAGTTTAAAAATTCCTATCACCTAGTGATTTGTGTTACAGTTGCCTACAGTATATTCAGTACAGTAACACATGATACATGTTTGTAGCATAGCTGTGTAGCCTGCAATACCATCTAGGTTTACATAGACTATCCACTGTGATGTTCACAATGATGAAGTCTCCTAACAAGTCATTTCTCAGAACGTATCCCTGGCCGGGCATAGTGGTGCACACCTATACTCCCAGCACTTTGGGAGGCCAAAGCAGGTGGATCTCTTGAGTCCAGGAGTTTGAGACCAGCCTGGGCAACGTGGCAAAACCTCCATCTCAACAAAAATACATAAAAATCCGCGAGGTTTGGTGGCGTGTGCCTGTAGTCCCAACTACTTGGGCTGAAGTGGGAGTATTGCTTGAGCCTGGGAGGCGGGGTTGCAGTGAGCTGAGATTGTGCCACTGCTCTCCAGCCTAAGTGACAGAGCAAGACCCTGTCTTAAACAGACAAACAAAAAACCACCAAAACACAAATTGTATCCCCATCATTAAGTAAGGTATAACTGTATTTTAAGCTGTTCCCTGTGAAAGGTCAAAGGCAAAGCTCTTAGGACCATCATTTCTTATTACTGCTTACTAATAGTCTAGAAGAGTCAGTGCATCCCAGCCTCCTAGCCTCACACTGGCAACTATTAGGAAGTCTTTTATGTCTGGCCATGACCTTCAAGAGGCATTTTGGGCTACAGCCTGAAGCCCTTTGCTCTGATTAATACCAAATAATAATATCTTGTATGATTTATGGAGCATGTTTGGATACATGGTCTTGGTGAACCTCGTAGTGACCCCGAGTTAGTCAGGGTAGAGATTTTATAGTGCACTATATTTGAAAGAACACCAGCTTTAGAATCAGAGTTCAAACCCTGAGTCTGCAGCATGGTGTAGTGGCTCACACTTATAATTCCAGCACTTTAGGAGGACCAGATGGGAGAATTGCATAAGCCCAAGAGTTTGAGACCAGCCTGGGCAACATAGCAAGACTCCACCTCTATAAAATTAAAAATTAGCCAGGTATAGTGTTAGGTGTCTGTAGTCCAGGCTACTTGGGAAGCTGAGTGGAAGGATCACTTAAGGCCAGGAGATTGAGGCTGTAACAAGCTATGACTCTGCTACAATATTGTAGCCTGGGCAACAGAGCAAGACCCTATCTTAAAAAATAAAAAACAAGTCTGGGCACGGTGGCTCACGCCTGTAATCCCAGCACTTTGGAAGGCCGAAGCAGGTGGATCATAAGGTCAAGAGATTGAGACCATCCTGGCCAAACGGTGAAACCCCGTCTCTACTAAAAATACAAAAATTAGCTGGGCATGGTGGCTTGCACCTGTAGTCCCAGCTACTCAGGAGGCTGAGGCAGGAGAATCGTTTGAACCTGGGTGGCAGAAGTTGAAGTGAGCCGAGATTGTGCCACTGCACTCCAGCCTGGTGACAGAGCGAGAGTCTTGTCTAAAAAAAAATTAATAAAATAATAAAAAACAAAATAAATAAAATGAACCCTAGGTCTCTGGTGTCTTAAGAGCCAGTTTTGAAGGCAGAGACCCCTAGGCCCAAATTCTAGCTCTTTTGTGCCTTTACTGTGTGACCTTGTACAAATTTATCTCTGAATCCCAAGTTCATCGTCTGGAGAATGGGCTACCTCACATTATGGCGACTAACAATTAAATGAAACAAATGTATAAACTGGCTCATAGTAGGTATTTAGTAAATATTATTTCCCTCTCCAAAGAAGTTACAAATAACTTACTGAAATATGTATAGCTCATAAGTAGCAGAGCCTCATCTTATTTCTTTAGGTCATTATTTTTTCCACTGGGCCCTGGCTGAGTTTTTTGGTCCCTCATATGTGCTGGATTTGCCCCCATTAACTCCTGCTGTGGCCTCTAAGCTGGGCTGCTCCTAGTAGGGAGACGTGCCGATGGGATGCAGATGTCTTAACCATGCTGACTCTGGGACCATCCTCTGCCTCCCTGTCTGCTGGCCTCCCTGCCGTCCTACTCATGATTACTCCTCCAAAGGACACTCAACTTCTCTACCATATCATGCTGCTTGTCCCTTTGGATCCTACAGGTTTGTTGCCCATTGGAATATTGCCAAATCTATGGCTGGGTACTACCAGGAATCTGGCCGGGCCGGCAGGGATGGGAATCCTTCCTGGTGCCGTCTCTATTACTCCAGGAATGACCGGGACCAAGTCAGCTTCCTGATTAGGAAGGAAGTAGCCAAACTCCAGGTAAGGCCCGGGCAGTAGAATGTATCTCATTCTGACCCACCACTGTCCAGTTTTGTGAAGCTGATTTCTGAGCCCAGATGATGTTTGTGTAAGCTAGAGGAGGCTGCTCCCAGCCTGTAAGTATGGCAAGGGGAAATGGCACATTGGGTAGGTACCTAGAAATATAAAGAAAAGAAACAACTTTTTCTTTATAAATATTTAAATAATCTTAATATTTTAGAGGCAAGGTCTCTCACTGTCACCCAGTCTGAAGTGCAGTGGCATGGTCATGGTCCCTGCAGCCTCTAACTCCTGGCCATAAATAATCTTCCTGAGTAGCTGGGACCACAGGTGTGTGCCACCATGCCTAGCTAATTTTTTTTTTTTTTTTTTCAATTTTTTGCAGAGATGGGGTTTCACTGTGGTGCTCAGGCTGGTCTCAAAACTCCTGGGCTCAAGGAATCCTTCCACCTCAGCCTCCCAGACTACTGAGATTACAGGTGTGAGCTACTGCACCCAACCTTAATATTGTCTTTTGTGTACATGTTATTTTATGTGGTCAAGATCAGTACTGCCTTTTTTCTTTTGTTAAAGAGATAGGGTCTCACTGTGTTGCCCAGGCTAGAGTGCAGTGGAGTGGTGATTCACAGGTGTAATCATAGCACACTATACTCGAACTCCTGAGCTCAAGTGATCCTCCTGCCTCAGCCTCCCAAGTACCTGGGACTAGAGGCATGTGCCACAGCACCTGGCTTAATCTTGCCTTGTTTTTTTGTTTGTTTGTTTTGTAGAGACGAGGTCTTGTTATGTTGCCTAGGCTGGTCTTGAACTCCTGGGCTCAAGTGATCCTCCCACTTCAGCCTCCCAAAGTGTCGAGATTACAGGTGTGAGCCACTGCACCCAGCCAGTCTTACCTTGTTTTTTTGGTTTTTTTTTGAGATGGAGTTTCACTCTTGTTACCCAGGCTGAAGAGCAGTGGCACAATTTCAGCTCACCGTAACCTCTGCCTCCCCATTTCAAGCAGTTCTCTTGCCTCAGCCTCTTGAGTAGCTCAGATTGCAGGCATGAGCCACCATGCCCAGCTAATTTTGTATTTTTAGTAGAGATGGGGTTTCTCCATATTGCTCAGGCTGGTCTTGAACTCCTGACCTCAGGTGATCCACCCACCTCAGCCTCCCAAAGTGCTGGGATTACAGGTGTGAGCCACCACGCCCAGCCAGTCTTGCCTTTTTTTTTTTTTTTAATTATTTTTTACCTTAATTTATTTTATTTTATTTTTTTATTGCATTTTAGGTTTTGGGGTACATGTGAAGAACATGCAAGATTGTTGCATAGGTACACACATGGCAGTGTGATTTGCTGCCTTCCTCCTCACCACCTATATCTGGCATTTCTCCCTATTCTATCTCTCCCCAACTCCCCACCCGCTGCTGTCCCTCCCCTGTTTCCCCCCAACAGACCCCAGTGTGTGATGCTCACCTCCCTGTGTCCATGTGTTCTCATTGTTCAGCACCCACCTATGAGTGAGAACATGCAATGTTTGATTTTCTGGTCTTGTGTCAGTTTGCTGAGAATGATGGTTTCCAGGTTCATCCATGTCCCTACAAAGGACACAAACTCATCCTCTTTTATGGCTGCTCTTGCCTTGTTTTAAGGTAATGCTCTAGTATTGCTTTGTAAGCATTTTTCCATATTTTTATTAGTTCTTTTTTTTCTTTTTCTTTGTAGAAAACCTAGAATCAGACCCAAGTATGTAAGGGAACTTGTTGTATGATAGGTGTCATTATAAATCAACATGGAAAGGATTAAGTTTTGAAAAGTTTGTGCTGAAAAAAGATAAAGTTATATTCCTACCTGATACCACACACATATGAATTATAGATGGATTAAAAACCTCAACAGACTAAAATTGGGGAGGCGGGGGAATATTTTATGATCCTGAGGAAGGAAAGAGTATCTCAGGATCTTTTTTTTTTTTTTTTTTTTTTAAATGGAGTTTCGCTCTTGTTACCCAGGCTGGAGTGCAATGGCACGATCTCGGCTCACTGCAACCTCCGCCTCCTGGGTTCAAGCAATGCTCCTGCCTCAGCCTCCTGAGTAGCTGGGATTACAGGCACGTGCCACCATACCCAGCTAATGTTTTGTATTTTTCGTAGAGATGGGGTTTCACCATGTTGACCAGGATGGTCTCGATCTCTCGACCTCGTGATCCACCCGCCTCGGCCTCCCAAAGTGCTGGGATTACAGGCTTGAGCCACCGCGCCCGGCCTTTTTTTTTTTTTTTTTTTCTTTTTTGAGACGGGGTTTCCCTCTTGTTACCCAGGCTGGAGTGCAATGGCGCGATCTCGGCTCACTACAACCTCCGCCTCCTGGGTTCAGGCAATTCTCCTGCCTCAGCCTCCTGAGTAGCTGGGATTACAGGCATGCGCCACCATGCCCAGCCAATTTTTTGTATTTTTAGTAGAGACGGGGTTTCACCATGTTGACCAGGATGATCTTGATCTCTTGACCTCGTGATCCACCCACCTCGGCCTCCCAAAGTGCTGGGATTACAGGCTTGAGCCACCGCGCCCGGCCTATCTCAGGATCTTAAAAGCAGAAACCCCAAAGAAAATAATATATTTGAATAAATTCAAACTAAAAATTTCCATATAATAAAAGCTGCTATACATAAAGTGATGAAATGAGCCCTTGTTGGGAAGATATTTGCAATGTATAAAATTGACTATAAGCCGGGCGCGGTGGCTCAAGCCTGTAATCCCAGCACTTTGGGAGGCTGAGGCGGGTGGATCACGAGGTCAGGAGATCGAGACCATCCTGGTCAACAAGGTGAAACCCTGTCTCTACTAAAAATACAAAAAATTAGCTGGGCATGGTGGCGCGTGCCTGTAATCCCAGCTGCTCAGGAGGCTGAGGCAGGAGAATTGCCTGAACCCAGGAGGTGGAGGTTGCGGTGAGCCAAGATCGCGCCATTGCACTCAAGGCTGGGTAACAAGAGCGAAACTCCGTCTCAAAAAAAAATAAATAAATAAAATAAATAAATAAATAAATAAAAAGACATACACCTGCATAGCAAAAAGGATGAATAGGTATTTCATAGAAGAGAAAAACAGAGTAGCTAATAAATATATGAGGAGATGTTCAACCTCACCTAACAAGCAGAAGTACAGAAATTAGACAACAAGCCATCATTTTATACCCATCATATTGGCAAAAATGTCTTCATAATCACTGTTGGTAAGGATGTGGGGAAAGGGCTCATCTTAACAATGTTGCTGGGCACCGTGGCTCATGGCTGTAATCCCAGCACTTTGGGAGGCCAAGGTGGTCAGATCATGAGGTCAGGAGATGGAGAACATCCTGGCAAACACCATGAAACTCCGTCTTTACTAAAAATACAAAAAGTTAGTCGGGCGTGGTGGCAGCACCTGTCGTACCAGCTACTCGGGCGGCTGAGGCAGGATAATCACTTGAACCTGGGAGGCAGAGGTTGCAGAGAGCCAAGATCATGCCACTGCTCTCCAGCCGGGGCAACAGAATGAGACTGTCTTTAAAAAAAAAAAAAAAAAAAAAAAATGTTGTCAGGAACATAAACTACTTCAGCTGCTTCAAAGAGAAATGAGGTGATACTTATACAGTGGAAGACACCAGTGCTCTGTGATTCAGTAATTCCACTTCTTCGTAGATAAATCATCATGTGTACAAGAATGTACATGTATAAGGATGAACAAGCATGTTTGCTGCAAAACTATAATGGTGAAATCTAGCTCTTCTGTAGGGTAATAGATGAATGAACTGTTTTAGTCACATAGTAGAATGGTTCAGAGGAGTCTAAAATGGCACAATAAATTTGCATGAATCAACAGGGATAAATTCCCTAAAGCATAATGTTGTGTCAGGAGTTTGAGACCAGCCTAAGATGGAGAAAACCCATCTCAACTAAAAACTACAAAAATTAGCTAAGTGTGGTGGTGCATGCCTGTAATCCCAGCTACTTGGGAGGCTGAGGCAGGAGAATCACTTGAACCTGGGAAGCAGAGGTTGTAGTGAGCTGAGATCGTGCCATTGCACTCCAGCCTGGGCAACAAGAGTGAAACTCTGTCTTAAAAAAAAAAGTTTAAAGATTGGTAGCTGGCCGGGTGCAGTGGCTCAAGCCTGTAATCCCAGCACTTTGGGAGGCCGAGGCGGGTGGATCACGAGGTCAACAGATCGAGACCATCCTGGTCAACATGGTGAAACCCCGTCTCTACTAAAAATACAAAAAATTAGCTGGGCATGGTGGCATGTGCCTGTAATCCCAGCTACTCAGGAGGCTGAGGCAGGAGAATTGCCTGAACCCAGGAGGCGGAGGTTGCGGTGAGCCGAGATCGCGCTATTGCACTCCAGCCTGGGTATCAAGAGCAAAACTCCGTCTCAAAAAAAAAAATTCGCAACAATAATAGTTATTAAATACCTAGGAATAAATGTTACAAGCTGTTAACAATAGTTTTTTTTTTTTTCAAAAAGCTATGGAGAAACCTCATTTCTACTTAACAAATACAAAATAAGCTGGGCGTGGTGGGGCATGCCTGTAATCTCAGCTGCTTGGAAGGCTGAGGCAGGAGAATCACTTGAACTTGGGAGGTAGAGGTTGCGATGAGTTGAGTTTGCGCCTTTGCACTCTAGCCTGAGCAACAAGAGCAAAACTCCATCTCAAAAAAAAAAAAAAAACAAAACTCCCCAGTTGCTTTTAACACATGGCCAGGGTTGACAACCATTGGTTTAGATAAAGAAAACTCAGATCTCATCAGGAGAAAACAAGCTCTGGAGCCAAGTGCAGTGGCTCATGCCTGTAATCCCAGCACTTCGGGAGCCTGAGGTAGGTGGATCACTTGAGCCCAGGAGTTTGAGACCAGGATGGGCAACATGGTGAAAGCCCATCTCTTCAAAAATTTCAAAAATTCGCCTGGCATGGTGGTGCAAGCATGTGGTCTCAGCTACTCAGGAGGCTGAGGTAGGAGGATCGCTTGAGCTGATGCTGAGGTGGGAGGATCGCTTGAGCTTAGGAGGTTGAAGCTACAGTGAGGTGTGATCCCATCACTGCACTCCAGCCTGGGCAGCAGAAACCCTGTTTCAAAAACAACCAAACAAAAAACAAATTCCAGATTAAGGACCTATGTTGAAATAATAAGCAATATTTTACAAGAAAATGTAGTCCAATGTGTAATCTAGAACTGAGGGTACTTTTATAATGAAGATTAGAAACCCAGATAGCAATGTATTGTGTTTTTGTTGTTGTCGTTTTTTGAGACAGAGTCTCGCTCTGTCACCAGGCTGGAGTGCAGTGGCGCACTCTCAGCTCACTGCAACCTCCGCCTTCCTGGTTCAGGTGATTCTCCTGCCTCAGCCTTCTGAGTAGCTGGGACTACAGGTGCATGCTGCCACTCCCGGCTAATTTTTTGTATTTTTAGTAGAGATGGGGTTTCTCCATGTTGGTCAGGATGGTCTTGATCTCCTGACCTCATGATCCACCCACCTTACCCTCTCAAAGTGTTGGGATTACAGGCGTGAGCCACTGCACCTGGCCTGCTATATATTAAATATATAAACTTTTAAATTTCTATATTTATATTTTATATTTTTATTAAAAGATATTTTTATATTATATTTTTATTAAATATAAAACTTTTTAATTTTTATATTTTTATTAAATATAAACCTTTTTTTTTTTCTTTTTTTTTTTTGAGACGGAGTTTTGCTCTTGTTACCCAGGCTGGAGTGCAATGGCGCGATCTCGGCTCACCGCAACCTCCGCCTCCTGGGTTCAGGCAATTCTCCTGCCTCAGCCTCCTGAGTAGCTGGGATTACAGGCACGTGCCACCATGCCCAGCTAATTTTTTGTATTTTTAGTAGAGACGGGGTTTCACCATGTTGACCAGGATGGTATCGATCTCTTGACCTCGTGATCCACCCGCCTCGGCCTCCCAAAGTGCTGGGATTATAGGCTTGAGCCACCCACTGCGCCCAACCTATAAAAACTTTTAAATTTCTATAAAACGTGAAAATATGAAATATGACAAAAGATACCATAAACAGTGTCAATAGATAAATAGTAAATCTGGGGAAATATTTTAATATAGAAGGCAAACAAAAGAATAAACAGCTTTTACCTATTGACAAGAAAAAAAAGGATATGAAAATCAAGGAATATGAAAAGAAAGTTCTCAGAAAAGTTTATCAAATGACACATTTAAAGATGCCCAAATTTAGGCCAGGTGAGGTAGGTAGCTCATGCCTATAATCCCAGCACTTCGGGAAAATGACACAAGAGGATCTCTTGAGGCCATGAGTTTGAGACTAGTTTGGGCAATGTAATAAGACTTCATCTCTACAAAATATTTAAAAATTAGCTGGATGTGTGTTCCAACTACTGGAGAGGCTGAGGTGGGAGGATCACTTGAGCCCAGGAGGTCAAGGCTGCAGTGAACTGAGATCATACCACTGCACTCCAACCTGGGTAACGGACTGAGACCCTGTTTCAAAAAATAATAATAATAATTAGCTGAGCATGATAATATGTGCCTGTAGCCCTAGCTACTCAGGACACCGAGCCGGGAGGATTGCTTGAGCCCAGGAATTCAAGGCTGTGGTGAGTTATGGTCATGCCTGAACCAGAGCAAGACTCTGTTTGTCAAGACTCTGTTTCCTAAATAAATCATGAGTACATAAATATTTAATGCTGTATGTGGAAGCTTGAAGGAAATAAGACATTTTCAGATACAAAGGTTTGAAAAACTTTCCCCAGTATGTCATGTCTCAGAAGCTATTAAAGAATGTTCTCCATTGTAAAGAGGTGGTAAACCTAGAAAGCAAAGATGGAGACTTAACCAGGAGTAAGTCTTGGCGCAGGACAGTATTGGAGAGTAGTCCTGAAAGATAGCTGTGTCCCAGGTCTACGGGAAATGGGTCCAGATTGCACTAGGGGGCAGAAGACTCCAGGAAGGAAGGTTCCAAAAATCACAGTGGAAGCTGGCATCTCTGGCTCCTATCAAAATGAACTGTTCATTTTGTTAGGACTGTTAGGGGTAAATTAATGACGTACTGAAATCTAAGTAAATAGAAAAAAGCAAAGATATTAATTTCAGGGGAAACACAGTTATGCAAGAGAGGAAATGTGATCATAGGAAATATAAAAATGTAATCACTTGGTTTAGCTCTGAACTCTGTTGACATAGTCATAATAAGGAAAACAGGGATTTCATAAGAAATTGTTCTTTTTTTTTTTTTTTTTTTTTTTGAGACAGAGTTTCGCTCTTGTTACCCAGGCTGGAGTGCAGTGGCGCGATCTCGGCTCACCGCAACCTCCGCCTCCTGGGTTCAAGCAATTCTCCTGCCTCAGCCTCCTGAGCAGCTGGGATTACAGGCACGCGCCACCATGCCCAGCTAATGTGTATTTTTAGTAGAGACGGGGTTTCACCATGTTGACCAGGATGGTCTCGATCTCTTGACCTTGTGATCCACCCGCCTCGGCCTCCCAAAGTGCTGGGATTGCAGGCTTGAGCCACCGCGCCCGGCAAGAAATTGTTTTGTAAACCTGTTTGGAAAGTTGCAGGTACAGAATCTGTGTGTATCTGTGTGTGTTGGTGGTGGTGGTGGGGATGAGTTACCTGCCCAAAGCAGAAACTCAGTAGACAGTGTCTCCAGTATCAGTGTCTCATTTTTTGTTGTTTATTTGTTTTTGAGACAGAGTCTCTATCGCCCGGGCTGGAGGGCAGTGGCACAATCTTGGCTCACGGCAACCTCTGCCTTCAAGTTCAAATGATTCTTATGCCTCAGCCCCCCAAGTAGCTGGGATTACAGGTGCCTGCTGGTGTAATCCCAGCTACTCTAGAGGCTGAGATGGGAGGATCACTTGAGCCCAGGAGGTCCGGCTAATTTTTGTATTTTTAGTAGAAATGGAGTTTCAACCATGTTGGCCAGGCTAGTCTCGAATTCCTGACCTTAAGTGATCTGCCTATCTTGGCCTCCCAAAGTACTGGGATTACTGGTGTGAGCCACTGTCCCCGGCCTTTTTTTTTTCTTTTTCTTTTCTATATTAAAAAATAATTCACAATATTTTAAAAGGATATGTTGCCAAATAGACATGTACACAAAAAAGGCCACTGATGCATAATGACATCACTCACAAATGCTCACTGTTCTGCTAGTTGATTAGCCACAAGTCCGTAGACAGGCTTATAGCAGAGTGAAGCCAGGAAATGTCTCTGAGCAGAGCTGTAACAGCTTCTGTCAGTAAGAGGGGAATTACCTTCAGGAGTGGGCAAGGAAGGAAGTTGGCTGCCATCTTTAGAGTTCCACTGCCCTGACCAAGTGTCTACATTCAAAATCTATAGTGCCCATCCCTCACCTAATAGTGGTTCCTGGCCCAGGGTGAGACTGTCCTTTCAATTGGATGAGGGTGCCAACAGATGGGCTTGGGAGGGAGGGCCACACCCCTGCCATCTTGCTCTCCTGGTGTAGCTGACAGCTGCCCACCCCCGCCCCACACCATGGGCTTCTGAGTTAGCAGATCAGGCATTTTATTTTATTTTATTTATTTTTGAGATGGAATCTTGCTCTGTTGCCTAGGCTGGAATGCACTGCCGTGATCTCAGCTCACTGCAGCCTCTGCCTCCTGGGTTCAAGTGATTCTCCTACCTCAGCCTCCTGAGTAGCTGGGATCACAGGTGTGCAACACCATGCCTAGCTAATTTTTGTATTTTTAGTAGAGATGGGGTTTTACCATGTTGGCCAAGCTGGTCTCGAACTCCTGACCTCAGGTGATTCCCCCGCTCCTTGGCCTCCCAAAGTGTTGTGATTACAGGCATGAGACACTACACCCAGCCATAGATCAAGCATTTTATAAATTGTATTTTATTATTTATTTATTTTTCTTCTTTTTTCTTTTCCGTTTCTTGCCATCCAGTAACATATAAATTATATTTTAAATTCATGTTTTAAGCTTGTGAAAAATAATCACTTAACATTTTAATATATCTCCCTCCAATATACACTGAAATATATATGTTCGTACATATGTTAAGTATGCAACATTTGTGCATGTATTTACTGTTATTAAAATGGGTCATATTATATAGTGCTTCCCAAATGCCAGTCCATGGGCTGTTTACATGAGAATCTCCTGAGAATCTTTTCAGAAATGCTCAAAAGCTCATCCCAGAAAATTCAGTTCAGTAGTCTGTGGTTATGATATATATGGTCAGGTCTGGGGATACTTTTTTTTTGAGACGGAGTTTTGTGCTTGTTACCCGGGCTGGAGTGCAATGATGCGATCTCAGCTCACCGCAACCTCTGCCTCCTGGGTTCAGGCAATTCTCCTGCCTCAACCTCCTGAGTAGCTGGGATTACAGGCACGTGCCACCGTGCCCAGCTAATGTTTTGTATTTTTAGTAGAGACGGGGTTTCACCATGTTGACCAGGATGGTCTCGATCTCTTGACCTTGTGATTCACCTGCCTCGGCCTCCCAAAGTGCTGGGATTACAGGCTTGAGCCACCGTGCCCGGCCTGGGGGTACTTTTTAAGTGGCTTTATTACTGTCATTTAATATTTTTCTCCCTTGTTACTTTTTTTTCCTTTTTTGAGATGGAGTGCAGTGGCATGATCTTGGCTCACTGCAACTTCCGCCTCCTTGGTTCAAGCAATTCTTCTGCCTCAGCCTTCTGAGTAGCTGGGACTACAGGCATGCACCACCATGCCTGGCTAATTTTTCTGTGTTTTTAGTAGAGGCAGGGTTTCACCATTTGGCCTAGCTGTTCTCAAACTCCTCACCTCAAATGATCTGCCTGCCTCAGCCTCCCAAAGTGTTGGGATTGCAGGTGTGAGCCACTGTGCCCGGCCTCCTCATTAATTTTTGTGGCTCTAAGGTAGTCCAATTCTATAAGACTTGGTAAGTGGTCATTTTTTGTCCCCAGGAAAAGAGAGGGAACAAAGCATCTGATAAAGCCAGTATCATGGCCTTTGATGCCCTGGTGACCTTCTGTGAAGAGCTGGGGTAAGTGACTTATTTTGTACGTGGAGCAAAGTGTCAGTGACATCATTTACTCCCCCAGCACCCCTTAGTTAAGCCTGTAGGCTACCAAGGGACCCTCGCCTGTGAAGGCCGTTGCATTGGGCAGCATGGAAGTCAGGACCTTGCTCTTCTCTATTGGAGGCCCCAGGAACTCTGGCAGTGTGGGGATTTGCTCAGGATTCTGGGTGGTATCCTTCCCTCCACTCCACCCTCTTCTGAGATGGCCGGCATCACAGGCCACTCAGTCCCAAGGGATGTGACCAGCTCTGAGCTGTCAGCTTTGTGGGCATTGTGTGCCACCGAGCTGGGACTTCTGGCTTCACTTGAGCAGTCCTCACCCTTATCCAGGACCCACACAGAAGCCTGTGGCCCCGCTTACCTCAGGGAGTCATGTGCTTTGAACCCACTCATCTGTTTTGCCTGCATCTTCAGGCAATGGGGCCAGGACCCTGGAAAGAGCCAGAGGACTGATCAGTGTAATCAGGTCATGTCCAGGCACGCGGAGCTGTGAGTACCTGGGTAAGGGACACCAGGAGGAGTCGTTTACATTTTGGTCTAAAAAGCTTTTGGATTCATCTGATCTCATGGAATGATCCTGTGAGGAGATGATGCTGACGTGATTGCATCAGACTTAGGTGAATAAATTGTGGTCCAGGGAGGTCACAGTCACAAAACTAATGGTAGACTGAGGCCACTAAACCCCCATCTCCCGATTTTCAGTGGTGTGCTCATTTTCATACACCTGAGCCATCTTGGTTTTTGCAAGAGGAGCATCCTGAAGCACAATGCTAAGTGCACGGAACTGGCGTCTAGCAGATGTTTGGGCTCTCCTTAGGGAATCAGAGCAGCTCTTCTTTGGGCTGTATGTTTTTATTTCTACCTCCTCCTGTTCACCACTGAGTCGGTGGCTCCTGGACTGAAGCTGTTTTCTTCTCCAAACTGCCATCTCTAATTTGGCCTCTGTGGCACGACCATGCCCAGCAGAAGTGGTTGGCTATAGTGTCAGGACCACCCTTGACCTGCAGCCGTTGCAACCAGAGCCCTTTTTAAGCACAATTAATACAGGGGTTGCTAAATTTGGCCTCCTTAGGCTTCTTGAGCAAAGCTCTCATTTCTAGTGAGGAATGAAAGGGCCAAGTGTTCCTGTTCACTGTGAGTCCTCTTGGCTGAAAAAAAGCCCTGGGGCTGTCTGAGGCTCTGAAAGGCTCTCTGGAGGGTTAACTCTGCCTGTCCCCGGGGTCTGCTCAGGCTGCCAGGCAAGGGAACAGGTCCTCCTAAGGGCCTCTGCCTTTGTTTCTCCTGTCACCTTCCAGGGAGCTGGGACTTCTTAGTGCATCAGTGACCTGGTTGCCAGGGGCTGGGGTCCAGGCATCTGTGGACCTGAGGAGTCCAAGTGACAGCCTCAAACTGCCTTTTTTTTTTTTTTTTTTTTTTTTGAGACGGAGTTTCGCTCTTGTTACCCAGGCTGGAGTGCAATGGCGCGATCTCGGCTCACCGCAACCTCCGCCTCCTGGGCTCAGGCAATTCTCCTGCCTCAGCCTCCTAAGTAGCTGGGATTACAGGCACGCGCCACCATGCCCAGCTAATTTTTTTGTATTTTTAGTAGAGACGGGGTTTCACCATGTTGACCAGGATGGTCTCGATCTCTCGACCTCATGATCCACCCGCCTCGGCCTCCCAAAGTGCTGGGATTACAGGCTTGAGCCACCGCACCCGGCCTCAAACTGCCTCTTGTGCAGCCTCATACCTGTCTCCTTTGCTATGTGTGATGGTTCTGAAATCCAGGCGGCCGGCGGTAATAAACACTGTTGGTATGTCAGTATTGGCTACTGTTCTGTGAATAAGTGAAAGTTTCTTAACTGGTGTATAGCACAAAGAAAAAGCCCCATCTCCACCAGATATTTGCTCCCTAAGAATGGTTCTCGTTGAAGGCTGAAGTTGAAGCAGCCTCCCACCAGCAATCCCTTGGGGTAGGCACCTGGCGGCTCGGAATTATTTCTGCAAAGGAAGCTGTAGGTTTCCTGTCAGTTTGTTGTGGGGTCTGACCAGGTATTTGGGTCAGTTACTAATGAGGCGGGGGCTGCGGCAGCCAGTGGTTTCCTTTCTTCTCTGCGTGTAGTTACTTTCTCTGGGCTACAGCCTTGCAAAAGCAGTGTTTGATTATTCATGACAATGAGCATCTTTTAGTATCATAAGGAAAAATTATTAGGTTTGAAGCAAACTCCAGCTTAAGACCTCAGCATTTTGAGATAGAAGAGCTGCCTTATATTTAGACCTGGATTGAATTGGGCCCTGTTGTCTCCTGGGATCTTGGGGTTGGGAGTGCCCGTCATCTTCTTATCTGTGTGTTTGCTCATTCATTCATTTACTCAGCCAACAAATATTGACTGATGCCCACTCTGTGCCAGGCACATTGAACATGGGGAATACAATAGTGGACAGAAAGAGCCCCGCCCCTGCTTTATGGTGCTTGGTCCAGTGGGGAAGAGAGCACTACAGACACAGTAGAGACATGTAAGTCCCAGAGCCAGCCATGGTGGCTCACATGCGTTTTTTGTTTTTTTTTTGTTTTTTTTTGAGACGGAGTTTCGCTCTTGTTACCCAGGCTGGAGTGCAATGGCGCGATCTCGGCTCACCGCAACCTCCGCCTCCTGGGTTCAAGCAATTCTACTGCCTCAGCCCCCTGAGTAGCTGGGATTACAGGCATGTGCCACCATGCCCAGCTAATTTTTTTTGTATTTTTAGTAGAGACGGGGTTTCACCGTGTTGACCAGGATGGTCTCGATCACTTGACCTCGTGATCCACCCGCCTCGGCCTCCCAAAGTGCTGGGATTACAGGTTTGAGCCACTGCACCCGGCCACATGCGTTTTTTTTGAGATGGAGTCTTGCTCTTGCTGCCCAGTCTGAAGTGCAATGGTGTGATCTCGGCTCACTGCAACCTCTGCCTTCCGGATTCAAGTGATTCTCTTGCCTCAGCCTCCTGAGTAGCAGGGATTATAGGCCTGTGCCACCATGCCCAGCTAATTTTGTATTTTTAGTAAGAGACAGGGTTTCTTCATGTTGGTCAGGCTAGTCTCTAACTCCTGACCTCAGGTGATCTGCCCGCCTTGGCCTCCCAAAGTACTGGGATTACAGGCGTGAGGCACCACTCCTGACCAGGCTCACACCTTTTATACCAGTACTTTGGGAGGCTGAAGTGGGAGGATCACCTGAGCCTGGCAGTTCAAGACCAGCCTGGGCAACATGGCAAGACCCTGTCTGTACTAAAAATACAAAAAAAAAAAAAAAAAAAACCCAAAAAAAAAAACAGAATTTCACGCCAAAGTTGGCCACGCACTGTGGTGTGTCCAGCAGGCTCAGTGCTTACTGCTGCTGTCATGGTTCGGTTGCTAAACTGCATCGTCGCTGTGTCCCAGAACATGGGCACCGGCAAGAACGGTGACCTGCCCTGGCCGCCGTTCAGGAATGAATTCAGGCATTTCCAGAGAATGACCACAACCTCTTCAGTAGAAGATAAACAGAATTTGGTGATCATGGGTAGGAAGACCTGGTTCTCCATTCCTGAGAAGAATCGACCTTTAAGGGATAGAATTAATGTAGTTCTCAGCAGGGAACTCAAGGAGCCTCCACAAGGAGCTCATTTTCTGGCCAGAAGTCTGGATGATGCCTTAAAACTTACTGAACAACCAGAATTAGCAAATAAAGTAGACATGATTTGGATAATTGGTGGCAGTTCTGTTTATAAGGAAGCCATGGATCACCCAGGCCATCTTAAACTGTTTGTGACAAGGATCATGCAGGACTTTGAAAGTGACACGTTTTTTCCAGAAATTGATTTGGAGAAATATAAACTTCTGCCAGAATATCCAGGTGTTCCCTCTGATGCCCAGGAGGAGAAAGGCATTAAGTACAAATTTGAAGTATATGAGAAGAATGATTAATATGAATGTGTTTTCTGGTTTAAGCTGTTCCTTCTCCCTCTGAAAAAAAATTATGTATTTTTACATTAGAAAAAAAGACTTTTTTTCTTCTACAAGATCTTATGGAAGCTTTTCTCTCTTATCTTTTTCTTTCCCCTTTTTATCGCTTTCTGCAAAAAAAAAAAAAAAAGACATTGACTTAAAAAAAAAAAAAAATAACAAAAAAACAACACACACACACAAGTAGCCAGGCATTGGTGGCACATGCCTGTAGTCTGAGCTGCTCAGGAGGCTAAGATGGGAGGATCAGCTGAACTCAGAAGTCAAACCTGCAGTGAGCTGAGATTGTGCCACTGCACTCCAGCCTGAGCGATGGGCATGAGACCCCCATCTCAAAAAAAAAAAAGACATGTAAGTCCTGTAAATGGTATTTTGAGAGTATAAAACAGGTGGCCTTACCCTAATCCTCAAGGATTAGGGATGATTTACCTGAGGGAGTCAGGTTCAAACAGATATGAAGGATGAGGAAGGACTAAGCAAGCCATGGAGTAAAGTATGGTGTAAGGGAGAGCATCCCAGTCAATGAGAATAGCATGTGCAAAGGCCCTGTGGTGGGAGAGAACATGGCATATTCCAGAACTGAAAGACATGCTGAGAACCCAGGGGCAGGGTGGGGTGGGATGAGGAGTGAGATGGTTGGAGACAGGCGGGCCAGACCGCATAGGGACCTGCAGGCCCAGGTAAGGCTTTGCCCTGGTGGCTATATCTAGATTAAAAATGAGTTCTCACAAGTTAGCAGATTTGAAAAGGAATTTTTTCTTCATTTGGTTGTGTCTTTTTTCTGTCAAGGATTTGTGAAATTGCTGGCTGGGCCTGTGAGCCTGTTAGAGAACCTTGTTAGCCATTGCTCCTTCCACCAGAGCCAGTGGAGCTGTCCTTTCCATGTGCTTTTAGGGTTCCCTAAAAACAATAGGGTCAGGGACCCAGAATTGGTTTCAGACCAGCCTCCTCATCTTATTAGTCTGAGTAACCCTAAGCCAGATGCAGTATTTTCCTAGATTCTTTCCTGGTGGGAAAAGAAGGCACCAGGGCTTGGCCCCTGAGCCAGAGGCAATCACAGAGAGACCCACCACCGGAATAGGGGGGTCAGCTCGCCTCCCCCTGCTGCCGTCTCAGCCCCCAGGAATTCAGGTCACTCTTCTTCATGCTTTTCACACTGGGTGTTTTTTGTGGAAGTGAGTAAATCAAACATGATGGCAAATAAGATGAGAAGCAGGACAGCGGCGATGAATAAGATAATCACAGCCAGGCCTCCCTGGTCCCAGGGGTTCTGCCAGAACTCATCATTCCAGATTGTCTTCTTGATTGCCAGTTGGTCCATGAGAATCTGGAAAAGAAGAGCACCTGAGTGCAGGCAGCCCTCCCAGGCCCTGTCCGGGTGCTGTGCTCTGCTCCCTGACTCCAGTCTCTCTAGCAGCCTCTGTGAGCAGCCAGCCTCCCTGGCAGCTGGGGGACATGGACGGGATGGATAGTCTTTATGCTCGGTGCCTCCAGCCAGCAGCAAATGGTGTTTCCCCACTCTAGCTACAAGAGCCAGGACTGGCAGAAGGAAGGGGTCCCTGGATTCTTCCTGGGGGCTGCCCCTGGATTCTCTAATCCTTCTTTCCTGAGTAGCCCTGGCATGAGCAAGAACTTTCTCTCCCATTCCCAAGACCTGCTTGGCTGGAATCTAAAAAGTACCACGATAGATCCTCCCTGTTTTTCCCGCCCCAACTGCCAAACATTTGGGAGGCATTCGAGAGATCTGTATAGCAGCCAAGGAGGGGCCAACTCCAGCTGAGGCCTCGGTAGGCTTCTTGGAGACAGCTGAGAACAGAACTTGTAGAAGCAGAGCTCGTTATCACAGACTGCAAGCCTGTAGCCAGGTGAGGGCTGCCCAGGTGGGGAAGGAGGGAGCCATTACCTGATTCTGCTGGGTAGCCATCCTGGGTCCTACAAGGGCAATTCAGGGTGGTCCTTCAGGCCTACACTTTGTGAGGGGCTGAGCTGAAGAGGCCACCAGGTGACCAGAGCTGCACCCGGACTCAAAGAAGCCACTGTTGAGAGGAAAAGGCGTGAGCATGGCCAAGGGGCCCTGACCAGACCTTCATTGCTGTCACCAAAGCAAACAAAGGTGGGCTAGGCTGGTTGCCTGGCAACTATGGCTCCCTTTCTGCCTTTCACATTCCCCCTTCAGCTGCTTTCTGCCCTTCTGTGATGTCATTTCGGGGTGCTCAGGACACATGTGTTAATGAGTCCCTCCTGAGAGAAGACAGACTTGGGGTGGATGGGGAAGAGACTAGACCCAGGGCCTTTGCCCTAGGCCATCAGGCCACCTCACCTGTGGCTGGTCTGGACTGGGCTGTCCCGTCTGGATGATGTGTGGACTGAGAGGACCTGCCCAGAGCTCAGGAAGTCCTGAGGCTGGGACTGGCGTAGGCCTTACTTCCTGTGCTGTGGGGCTGGGGCTGGGACTGGCGTAGGCCTCACTTCCTGTGCTGTGGGGTGAATGATTAACTGCAGCCCTGGCTGGCGCCTGGCACCTCCTGGAACTGTTTCTGGGGGAAGTGTTGCTCCCCGCTGAGGCTTCCTATTGGTTCCTTTGTCCTCAGCAACACTGTGTGGTTGATTTCTGCCTACTGGCACAGTAGGGGAGCTGGGAAGAGGGAATCAAGCCTGTCTTTGGTGTGTGAAACCTAGTGGCCACCATTTACTCATTTAAAAGCTAGGATGTGAGGGCCCGCTGTGCCCAGGAACCACGCCAGGTACTGTACAGTTGTGAGATCAGAAAGGCGGGCCGTGCCCTCCAAGGGCTTCCCTTCTAGCCCTTGGGTGCTCATCCCTGCTCGTAAAGATCTGGGAGCTTTTAAAAATGCCGGGCGCGGTGGCTCAAGCCTGTAATCCCAGCACTTTGGGAGGCCGAGGCGGGTGGATCACGAGGTCAAGAGATCGAGACCATCCTGGTCAACATGGTGAAACCCCATCTCTACTAAAGATACAAAAAATTAGCTGGGCATGGTGGCACGTGCCTGTAATCCCAGCTACTCAGGAGGCTGAGGCAGGAGAATTGCTTGAACCCAGGAGGCGGAGGTTGCAGTGAGCCGAGATCGCGCCATTGCACTCCAGCCTGGGTAACAAGAGCGAAACTCCGTCTCAAAAAAAAAAAAAAAGAAAGAAATGCCCAGGCTACCTGGTACCGCTTACATTAGCCTCTGGGGGTGCCAGGATGTCGTGTTGTTTACAGTTCCCCAGGTGATTCCCCTCATTGTGGCCAGGGTTGGATGACAGATGGTGGCAGATTTAGTACAGTTGTTCTTAACTATCAGGGGCGTCACTGACCCGGCTTACCTAATGCTTTCCGTTTCCTTGTGTGAAACTTACTGACTAATGCCCTTGGCATGCCGAACACTCACAGCAGTAGGCCAGTCTCTAGCACACCCTTGGCCTGCGGCTCAGTTAAATCAGATGCTTATCAGGAGTCAAGCTGGTTCCCAAACCTGTTCATGGCAGTTGTACTTGTAATTACATAATTGAATTTAACATCCCAGGAACCATCAAAGCAGCAATAATAGCTGAAACCCCAACTTTACCTACAGGGAACAGGCACAGAGAGGTTAAATAACTTAGCCAAGGTCATCAGCTAGTAAGTGAGTTGGAGTTTGAATCCAGTGGCACGGTCTGAGCTCTAAAGCACCTGTGCTGCACCTCAGAGTGAGTAGACGAACGAGTTGTTTCTATAAATACCTGTTGACCGCTTTGGGATGACTTTGGAATTACTCAGAGAATGTTTCTGTTGAAAAAGATGCAGACATGATAACTAAACATTGGGGACATTTTGTAAAAACCCAGGTGGCTTTCACACTCAGATTCCTTTGCCTTCAAGTTCTTGCTCTGTTTTAAAGAAACCAAAACTAGAAAGTAACAATACAGGAACTCTGGTCAGCAAGCCCACACTCAGAGAAAAGTCAGGAAGACTAGCCTAGGAATAAGAACGTGTATGTTTCCATTTAATGCGAGATGTGTAAGAAAATAATAAAATGAGATGTGTAGAGAACTTAGGTGTTTTTTAACAAAAGTTGCTTTAACCAGCTTTTTCAATTAATTGCTAGGCCCAATCAGATAATTTTTTTTATTTTTGAGACAGTGTCTCACTCTGTAGCCCAAGCTGGAGTGCAGTGGCGTGATCTCGGCTCACTGCAACCTCTGTGATTCTCCTGCCTCGGCCTGTATCACAGGCGTGTGCCACCATGCCTGGCTGGAAGGAAACTTTTTTTTTTTTTTTTTGAGATGGAGTTTGCTTTTTTTGCCCAGGCTGGAGTGCAATGGCGTGATCTCAGCTCACTGCAACCTCTGACTCCCAGGTTCAAGCAATTCTGTCTCAGCCTCCTGAGTAGCTGGGATTACAGGCATGCGCCACCATGCCTGATTAATTTTGTATTTTCAGTAGAGATGGGGTTTCTCTGTGTTGGTAAGGCTGGTCTCAAAACTCCTGACCTCAGGTTATTCACCTGCTTCAGCCTCCCAAAGTGCTGGTATTACAGGGGTGAATCACTGTGCCTGGCCAGGAAACTTACATATACTCTGCCAAGTTTTACAATGAGATTCTTGTATCTGTGGCTTTATTGTCGGTTTTATTTTATTTTACGTTTTTTGTTTTTTTTTTTTTTGTAGGGACAGGGTCTCCCCATGTTGCCCAGGCTGGTCTCAAACTCCTGAGCTCAAGGATCCTACCTCATTGGCCTTCCAAAGTGCTGGGGTTACGTGCATGTGATGTACTGTGCTGGCCTACTGTAGTTTTGTTTTGTTTTTGAGATGGAGTCTCATTCTGTTGCCCAGGCTGGAGTCCAGTGGTGCAATCTCGGCTCACTGCAGCCTCTGCCTCCTGGGTTCAAGTGATTCTCCTGCTTCACCCTCCTGAGTAGCTGGGACTACAGGCATGTACCACCACACCTGACTAAATTGTTTTTGGATTTTTAGTAGAGCTGGGGTTTCACCATGTTGGTCAGGCTGGTCTCGAACTCCTGACCTCAAATGATCTGCCTGCCTTGGCCTCTCAAAGTGCTGGGATTATAGGCATGAGCCACTGCGCCTGGCCCTATTGTAGTTTTTAATCAGGCATGACATGCAGACAGTATGGCACACAGGTTGTCTGAGTAGAGTACAGCTCTTTTGAGGAGCCAAGAGCAACCTGCCCTGTGGTGGAAGCAGAGGCCACAGCTGGGGGTGGGCATGAAGAGGCTGGTGAGATGATTGTGGGACCGCTTAGGATGCTGCTGCAGTGACCACAGTAAGCATTGATGGTGGCGTGGTCCAGGGAAGCACAGTGGCAGGAACAGAGAGGTGGTGGCCAAGTCAGACGTCCTCTAAACCTGAAACCAGCCTGATGGCCGCCCCTCCCATGGGCCCCGCCTGTCTTCAGGCCGCCCAGGTCTGCAGCAGCTTTGTTTATTCTTTCCCATAGTGGGACAACTGCTGCCGCCTTTCCATGCCCGTCTTCCCTAGGGAAGACGGGCATGAGGAGCTGCCTCTTGAAGGAGTGGGCCAGGATGCTGTCAGAGAGCAGACCTGGTTTGTTAATCTCAGTGGGTTTGAAGCCTGAGAAGGAGTTGGCCCGACAGCTGGGCTGAGTGTGTGCCAGTTGGCCGAGGAGCAGGGAGTGAGTTCTGTGATGGCAAGGACTGAATCCTGTGTGGGGTCAGCAGTTGTGCACCACTTGCCCTGGAGCGGCCACTCAGCCTGTCTGTGCCCATGGCTGTCTGTGGTTCCCACCTCTCTGCAACTAGGCTGGAGAAGCAGAACTAGCAAAGAGCCTCAGCCTCAGCCTCAGCCTCCCTCCAGCAGGGCCATTCTTATGCTGATGAAAACTGGCTTATGGAAAAGTCACCCAGGAATTGGACTGCTTCCCTGTTGGGGCATCTCCCAATCAGATGGCTTCCAGGGACCGTCCAGCCATTGATGCTGGGAGGGAAAAATGCAGGGTTTCCTGTCTGTCCACTCCCCTATGTTTTTCTGGGAGGGATGCCTCATTGGGCACCACCCCAGTTCTTAACCTGTTGGGTCCCACCCACTCCTGCGAAGGTTATTCCGAGACAAAGTTTGGTATGTGGGTGTTTTGGGTATAGGGTTGGCCACTGGAGGATAATGGAATTAGAGCCTTGTCTGTCCTGCAACCAGGAGGCCACTTTCTGGGTCGGGAGCCCTGGGTGAGGTGAGCAGAGGCTCTGGAGCCAGATAGACTGGACTCAGGCTGGCCCTGCTGCTTTTCAGCTGGTTGAGCTTAGACAGGTAAGCTAGCATCAATCCATGTCCTCATCTCTAAATGGGGGTAACAGTGTTCTCTTCAACACTGAGGTATTGTGATGAGTAAATGAGTTTTATCTGCACCAGAATGCTGAAGACAATGCTCAGTGTGTGTAAGCCCTCAGCAAATTTTAGCCATCTTCTTCAGCAGCAGCAGCAGCATCATCATCATCATCATTATTCTGAATCCTATTCTTTGGAGGGAGCTGAGAATGGGCAAATTCTTGAATTTCTTTTCTACCCTTCTCTGGGTCTTTAACCTAAACCTGTCAGACAAGTCTGTGGACACCAGAAAGTGAAAGCAGATGGTGAGAGTTCCTCCTCCCTGCCTGCCACTGCCAGTGTGGCCTGGACTGCCAGCTTGAAATGGCACAGCTGTGGCAGGGGCTGGCATTCCCTCTCCATGACATGTTTCTCAGGTAGACAGGGCTGTGCTCCCAGGCAGCCAGAGCATGGCCATGCAGGGCAAAATGATGGAAGCGTGTGAAAAACACAGACCTCTCGACCCGGCTTGGTGCTCCCGCCTGTAATCCCAGCACTTTGGGAGGATCACCTGAGGTCAAGAACAGCCTGGCCAACATGGTGAAACCCCATCTCTACTAAAAATACAGAAAATTAGCTGGGCATGGTGGTGCATGCCTGTAGTCACAGCTACTCAGGAGACTGAAGCAGTACAGTCGTTGAACCCAGGAAGTGGAGGTTACAGTGAGCCGAGATCGCACCACTGCACTCCAGCCTGGGCAACAGAGCGAGACTCCTTCTCAAAAAAGAAAACAGAAAAACACAGACCTCGTGGCTCTGGAGAAGCCCTGGGGAGGCACCTCGGGATGCTCTGTTTGGCCCCATTGACGTTTCTGGAGCCGTGTGCCTCCCCTCCCCACACTCCTGGGTTTGTAGCTCTAGCTGGAAAGTTCTCTGGAAGAAAAACTCAGCTGAATAGAGCAGGACCAGTCTTTAAAATGGGTCCCTGTTCCCCTGGTTGGTCCCATGTTTCGAGGGGCAGATAATGGCAGTTCATGTTGATGAGGCTCTGGGATATGGCCAGCACCGTGCTAAGTGCTAGACGCAAGTCATCTGCGTTTATTCTCACAGCACATCCCAGGAAGCAGTACCAAGATTTGCCCCATTTCAGCAAGGAGGAATTCGGCTTAGGGAGGTTGAGTCACACAGCTGACAGGGTGAGGGTGTGAGCCTAGACAGCACACAAGTCGGGGAGGGCCATGGGGTCAGTATGCAGATTACATTAGGGCCTTCCTCTGGCAGTTTTCAAAGACCCACCGGCCTGAGTCTGCTGATTTGGGGTGTACAGGCCAAAGGGGCTGGCAGTAAAGAGAGTTAAGTGCTGTTCCTGAGCCTAGCTAGCCTAAGCCTCAGCCTGGCAGAGCTCATTAGCAGCTAATGCATGACAGGAATTTCATGGCATCTTCCACTGGCCCCGTGGTGTTACCGCCTATGTGGCAGTCTTCTCTGCGTGGTTTTCCAGCTTTCGTGGGCACAGGGAGAGCAGAGGCCACACCCCCTCTGGACACACAGAGCCCAGCCCAACCTCAGGGAGTCTGGCACCACAGAAACATAACCCAAAGGCTTTTACTTGGAAACGGGCAAATACTGGACTAGAATACTGACATGCTTACACACTGGCAGAGTGCGGATGCAGAAGCTATTGCACAGAGCCCCTCTGATTGCCTTGCTTCTCTTTGGCATGGATCAGTAGAACCCCAAGGACCAGTTGCTCACAGATGGGGACTGTTCTCCATCAAGGTATGGCGACCCCTACTTCCTTGTTTTGTTAAAAAGTGTAATTAGGCGAAGAAGCCCAGGCAGTTGACCCAGTCTTTGAAACAGTTGACTCCTCAGCACCCAGTGTCCACAGGCAGGTGAGAGGTTTGCAGCTATACCAGCCTGGTTTCCTTGGTAGGGCTCCAGGTGTCAGTGTCCAGGTACCTGGGCCAGTTGAGAGCTGTGGCCAGGGGAGCCTGGTTTTGAGGGGCGAGGGCTGCAGGGCCAGGCTGATGACCTGTGTCACGGCATTGGCCATCTCCTCTCCAGCTTCTCAGCCATCCCCCATCCCTCATGGTGGTGTTGGCTGTACCTGGACCTTCCTGCCTCTGTGTTCTGGGCAGCAGCAGTGAGTGCAGCAGCAGCTGCAGGCTATCAACAGCAGCAGCAGAACAGTGGCTGGAGGGCAGGGAGAGAGCAGACTCAGGTAGGGGAGAAAAAGGATGCCCACCCTCCTCCCAGAGAAACCCGCTCCGTGCTGGGGTCTTCACCCACAGGTCTGGTGGAGGGGTCGGAAAGACCCGAGAGGCTGGTGAGAGGTGTGGATGGTCCCCATGCTGGCTGCCTGGGCCCGCCTCCTCCCTGTTGTGTCTCCTCTTTCTCTTTCCAAGCCTGGCTCCCGTCATCCCTGCAATGGGGTCCTGGGGTGCTGCTGGGCCCAGTTCCCAGCACTGCCCATCATCCAAGCAGCATGTCAGGGGATGAGGGAAGTCCTTTGGCTTCCTCCAAGGGACAACTGGCTTTCCTCCTTGATCTGGGAGATACCCGCCACCTCTGCCAGCCCTCTGGCTAGCACCATGGTGTGGTCTCTCTCAGATGCCAGGGTGAGCCATGGGGTGCTGAGTGCCCCGACTGACCTGTGAAAAGGACGATGACCGAGAAGGCCACGATCTCCACGGGCTCAGCCTGGGGCAGTCTCTGCAGCTTGAGCAACAGCCTCTCGCCCACGGCTCGCATGTCCTGCACGAAGTTGGTGGTGGCCATGCTGTGCTGGCTTCCTGTCGGGGCTCCTGCCAGGCTGTGCCGGGGCAGAGAGAACAACTGGAGCTTCCACAGCTGGCCCCACACTGGCCGCAGCACCGAGATTCCACCCTCGCACCCATCCACAACCCGCAGAACGAGTTTGTCAGGTCTCACGCATTGCACCCCGGTGACTTCTACCTAGTGGTGGCCCTCAGTCCCCACTTAGCTGACACAGCCCAGGGTAGGAGAAGTTGGTGATGAGAGTGATACCGAGGGCTTGCTTCAGGGGCTGCCGGCCAAGGCCAAGGTTGGTGGTGGTTTCTGGCTTTTCTGTTCTGTTCCCTTGTCTTGAGGCACCACTCCCAGGTTTTGTCAGGGTGCTTGGGACTGGCACAGCTCCCTGCTGACCGCTGGGTCCCTCGGGGTGGGGAGACTGACGTAGGATGCCAAGCTGGTACTCTTGCCTTCCATCAGTATGGGGACAGAAGAAGCAGGTTATCTCAAGAGCAGGTTCATAGGACTTCTGGCCAGGGTCAGCAGAGGTGAAAACTGTCCCCATCCCCCAGGCCCCCCTACCTCTCCCATCAGCCCAGTTTTCATACTCATGTGTGTTCTGTGAGGGAGAGCACCCCCCTCCCTGCCGCACCTCTCCCACCAGCCCTGTTTCTGAACCCATGCATGTCCTCCTAAGTGGGGAGAGGCCACCCCAGCTCTCCCACCAGCCCGGTTTCCACACTTGTGTGTTCTCCCATGGCGAAGCGGCCCAACCATGTCCCTCCAGGTTTTGCCAGGACTCTGTCCTGTCTGCTTGGAGGGTGTCAGGAGGCCCAGGCTGCTCAAGTCAGCTCCTCCCTGCTGGCTTCACCTGTTTCTCTGGCCTGACCAGGAAAGTCCTTTCCCCTCCACCCCTGCCCCAGGAGAGCCTCTTCCTGTCTCAGGGTGCCTGAGAGGCCCAGGGTGCAGCTCCAGGCTGAGCCTGTCTGGGCTGTGTCTTTGAGCCACTTTCCTCTTCTGCCTCTCCTGTGGGCGTGAGGGAGCTGGAGCCTCTTTAGAGAGAGACCAGAGACAGCCTTGTCCCACCCCAGCCTGATCCAGGCAGTTGCTCGAATCCAGGGGTGTGGGCAGGTGGCAGGGGCGAATGCCAGACTTTGGCGGTAATGATTGTGGCCTCTCCCAGGTCTCAGCCGGTTCTCCCTGAGATGGCTGCAGGCAGTGAGGCTGGTCCCTTCTGGTGCTGCTCCCTTGGCAGAGCTGGTTTAGAACCACCTGTGAAGGTCATTGAACGGAGCCCTCCACCCTGCACTTGGCCTGTGTGTGGGCTTTGCATGAGCACCCAAGATGGTGAGGAACCCCCGCCTGCTGAGGCAGGCCACCCCCTGCAGAAGGTTAGACCCCCTGCTGGACCCCAGTTCGCCCCACTTGTGCTCACTTAGACCTTGCGCCTTCTTCTGCCTCATAGTCCTTCAGGAGCAAGATGGCAGCTGGCGTGTACCTTCTGGATTTCCTTCTCTGCCAGGGGGCCTGTGTGAGTGTTTTCAGCTGTCTTCCTTGAATGCCACCTCCACTTCTTCCTTTTTCGACATGAACAGGTTGCTTCATGTCTCTGACATGGAATGAGATGCTGGTGTTTTGAGGCTGTTGGGAGGACTGGCTATCTAGCAGCACATTGTAGACAGTCACGGGGTGGGGGATGCCCAGCACACGAGAATGCTCCTGTGGGAGTGGTCTCACTGGCTTTGGGGGCTGTTACCCCCCATGCACCATCACTAGCACCTGCAACACCTTTTGGGTATTCGTCCTAGGGCATCTGTGGTGTCAGTACTGAAGGAAGGTAGGCAAGCTGGAGGTGGAGAGTTGTTTTATGCATTTTTTTTTTTTTTTTTTTTTTTAGATAGAGTCTTCCTCTGTCACCCAGGCTGGAGTACAATGGCATGATCTTGGCTCACTGCAACCTCTGCCTCCTAGGTTGAAGCGATTTTTCTGCCTCAGCCTCCTCCCGAGTAGGCTGGGACTACAGGCACCTGCCACCACACCCAGCTAATTTTTGCATTTTTAGTAGAGATGGAGTTTCACTATTGGACCAGGCTGGTCTTCAACTCCTGACCTTGTGATCCAACTGCCTTGGCCTCCCAAAGTGCTGGAATTACAGGCGTGAGCCACTGCACCTGGCTGGGAAATTTAAGGGATGATGGGTGTGACAGGCAGAAGATTGCTCCGTGGAAAATTAGATGAGTTCCTGTCAAAAGCAGGAGGTTCCCTGAGTTAGGTCTACCCAGCTTCTCACACCTCACCTGTGGTGAGTGTGTTTCTGCAGAGGAGGTGAGGATCCCAGTTTTCAAGTGTCCTGACAGGCATAGGGTCCTAGAATGCCACAGGTCACCGTTCCCACCGCCTTCCTTCTACACTTGGGGAAACTGAGACCTGAGAGAGCAAGTGAATTCTCTGAGTTTACACAGCAGGACAGGGGCCCAACCAGCACCCCCACTGGCGCCTCACGCTATCTTTCAGTGGAGGCCTGTCTCCAGCTTAGACCAGCTAGATAGGAGAGCCCCCTGAGGACCCTGCTTCTGCAGTGGGCTCAGTGCAGGAGCCAAGGCCCCAGAGCCCTCTGGAAGCCAACTGGCTGTGCTCGGCAAGTCCCGGCCCATACTTGTGGATCTGAAGCCGCTTTTATCAGCACATCACCACCAGGCTGGGCCCACACTAGGCTCTTTGAGACTACCTGGGGTCTTTGTCACCACAGGTACAGGCCTTGTGTGCCTAACCAGCCTGAGCAAAGGACTGTCCCTTCTCGTCAGGCCAAACAGGATACTCCCTCTGGCCCGGTGAAGCAGGCTTGTGCAAGGACAGTGGTCCCCTCTTGGTTCTGGGACCTCCGTGCCATCCTCACTCCCCAGCTTTCCGGGTTCCTTCATTCTTAGAGGGATGACGATGTCCTTGCACATGGCTCAGAAGCTGGGCTGCCTTCCTCCTCTCCCTCTCTGTCTACACTTGCTCTGGTGTTTTCAGCCTTATTGGCATTGTGCCTGCACGGCCTAATGTAGCCCAGCAGAGACACTCCTTAAAAGAGGAAGCGGGCAGGCGGTGGGAGTGCAGGGAGAGCTTTTTCGCTTGTGTGCCACACCCAGAGAGGCAGGGAGAGATTGCCGGGGGGTGGGGGAGCTCTTCCTTGTGAGTGAGAAGTGGCGTGGAGACCTGGAGTCGTGCTCACCAGAGCAGGGAGGAGGATGGTTGGGCTGAGGCTGAATTTACTGTGCAGGAAAAGTGGGGTTTGTTGCCGAGAACCTTCAGCTGGCCTCCAGGGGCTGCAAAATGGGGAGCTGCAGACTCATGCCAGGTGGACCTCAGCCCCCAGCTGGGAAAAGTATCAGTTCCCGCCAGCAGCAGGCTGTGGCTGGGGAGAGTGGCATAGCTTTGCACCCAGGGCTTCCCTAGGGGGCTGACTGGGAGCTGAGTATGCCAGCCAGGCATGGACAGCCTTATCCAGCCAGAGGGGTCTGACCAGGGCTGCTCACGGTATCCTGTCCCTCAGTTAGCAGAAGTGGGGCCATTGGACATGGCTGTTCTGCCCCCAGAGAGCTGAAGAGGAACCCCAGGAGCCCCTTTGCTTTGCGGTTGATACCTTGTCATTTGGAGCATAAGCTTGTGGCTGAGCCTTCGTGGGGTAGGTTGGGGAACTGAGGGGTCTTGTTCTCTAAAGAGGAGGAGAGGCGCATTCCAGCCGGTCCCCAGGCGGTCTTCCCAGTGGGCTATTTAAAGCCAGGCCAAGGGAGTGCCTGACGCTTGGTGCCCAATATAACCAGCAGCCGTCAGGTGACTGTGTGGCCTGTGCCCCAGCTGCTGCTCCTGAGGGAACCCTGGTGTTCCCAGCTGTGACGGGGGGAATGTGGGAGCTCTGAGGCTGGCCACCTCCCCTCTCCCTTCCCTTCCTAGGTTCGGCAGGAGGAAGGCAGGGAAGCCCAGAAGGGCAACTTACGATTCTGTATTTTTCCAGTCTTTCTATCTCAGGTTCACCTAACTCCTTCCAAAACCACACTTCCCACCTGTGAACCAGGGCAACCAGAGTCTCTCCCAGCCCCACACTTGGTAGTGCCTTGCTTGGAGGTTTCTCAGGGGTTCCTGAGTGGCTGCCAGAGCAAGTGGTGGCTTCCTCTGGCCCTAAGAGGGAATGCAGCCCAGCTGCCACCAGGCCCTCCTGCTGCCCAGGCAGCCCAGCTTGGAGCCTTCAGAGGGTGCACCCTGGCTGCAGTAGCAGGCGGCACAGGGGAAATGAGCAGGGTGGAGAAGGCTGGCAGAGCTGGAGGGACGGGAAGCATTCCTTTGTGTGGCATCTCTTGGCACATGGAGCCTTGCAACAGAGAGGCAGGCATCCTGCAGGCCAGACAGCTGCCACTTGGTCCTGAAGCTTCCCTGCTTCCTCCTCACAGAGCTGATACTCCAACCCCAGGCACCCCACGAGGAAGGGCTGGCAGCAGGCGGCATGTTTGAGCCTGATAAGCGAGGTGTGCTGGTGGCACAGGGCCCCAGAGGCCTGCTTGCTCTGCCCTGTTGTTTCGTCATGGTGGGTTTCAGCCACCCTTGCCCTGCCAGGCATTATCTTGTTTGAGTTCAGCTAGAAGGAGGCATAACTGCCACTTGTGGGAGATTTGCCGGGTCCAGTGCCTGAGCAGCTGGGGGAATGCCCCTGTCTGTGGCACTGAGCCTTTGGGCAACTCCCCTTTCTGCCCTGGCTCCAACTGAAAATAGAAAGTGGCCGGGCGCGGTGGCTCAAGCCTGTAATCCCAGCACTTTGGGAGGCTGAGGCGGGTGGATCACGAGGTCAAGAGATCGAGACCATCCTGGTCAACATGGTGAAACCCCGTCTCTACTAAATATACAAAAAATTAGCTGGGCATGGTGGCGCGTGCCTGTAGTCCCAGCTACTCAGGAGGCTGAGGCAGGAGAATTGCCTGAACCCAGGAGGCGGAGGTTGCGGTGAGCCGAGATCGCGCCATTGCACTCCAGCCTGGGTAACAAGAGCGAAACTCCGTCTCAAAAAAAAAAAAAAAAAAGAAAATAGAAAGTGGTACTTGAACCCCTGGCAGGCCCTGCTCCTGTAGCCACCCAGGGCAGGGGGAAGCGCTTTCTGCTGCTGGTGTTAGAAACAGTAGGTGCTCCTTCTGCAGCTGCAGAAGCTGGCCGTTCATTCCCCTCCGTCCTGGTTCAGGGACTGTGTTGGAGGGACCCTGTCTACTTCTGTCCTATGGATGCAGGACAGGGTCTGCATCCCCACCTGCCTGCCTGGGGCATCTTGAGTGACAGCAGCAGGGTCTCCACTGTGCCCCGACCCCCCCACCTGGCCTGACCCTTTCCCTGCTGTGCGCCTCCCAAACACCGCAGGAGTTGATCTCCCCAGGCACCAGCCCCAGCCAAAGCCCCCAGCCTCTGCTGAGCCCAGAACATTTGGACTGATCCTTGGTTTTCACATTTTCCTAGGTCATTGTTTTTGTTTCTTACTAGATGCCAGTTTGTTTGCTTTGAGGAAAATGTATGGGGGTTGGGGGGTGGCTTTAACGCTGGCTTGAGGACAGGGAGGCAGGAGGATATCCAGCTTCGGCTCATGGGCCTGCCCAGGAGGGCTGCTCCTGGTGCTTCCCAAAGAACCAAAGAACCAAACAGCTGAGCCCTGCTTCCTTAGGGCCGGTGTCACAATCAGCCTGTGCATCACGGTGGCACAGCAGAGGTCCTGGCTGCCAGCATAGTCCCTCCTAGCCTCATTTCTGTCACATCCCCACCTGAGCCTGGGTTGAAAGTCAGTCATCCAGGTTCCTGGTTTGGTGTTCAAGCCTCATTGCCAGAGGGAGATCTGGGGGCTTATGGGGTTCTAGATGGGCCCAGGAAGGAGGACCCAGGCTGAGTCCTGAGATGAGAACACCTGGCAATGAGTGGGCCGAGCCCCCGAAAAGACACAGATGGGCAGAGTTCTGCTGCATCCTGGGGGCGCCGCACGCTGGCTGGGCAGACCCTTCGCTGACCTTCTCGACTGAGCTCTGCCCTAATCCCGGGAAAAAGGGAGGCTCAGCAGGCCAGCGGTCGTTCTCTCCCAAGCCGGACAGCCAAATCCCGCTTTTAAGCCCCCTGAATAGAAAGAGCTGAAATGAACTTGCAGAGTAAGCAGGCCCTGGGGGCCCCTCTGCTGCACCGCAGGCGGAGGGGGAGGTGCTCTGAGCAGAGCCCCCAGTGCTCCCATAGCGCAGGGTCCCAACAGAAGGGGCAGCGTAGGTGCATGTAGGAGACTGCCCGACTTCCCTGCCGGAAAGTGACCCAGCGTATTTCCCAAGACCTCTCTGTGTTTATGGTGGACTGTGACCCTTCACCCAGGGGCAGGAGACACTTGCTGCTCCCTCCCTATCCCCCCGTCTTCTGTGGCCAGTGCCACTCACCTGGGAGCTCAGGTGTTGGGGGCCGAGCAGCAGAGCCCCAGCGTGGAACCTCCTTGTGCTGTCCTCGTACTTCCTCCGTGGGTGCCGCTGCTCCCCTGGGCGCCTCAGCGCAGCTCCTCTGCTGACAGCCAGCTGCTGTCTCTGCCTGGCTTTTTTGTTGTCAGTCGTCCTGGAGATCCAAGTGTCAAATTACTGTCGCGAGGGGGAGCCCGAGGAAGCCCTGCTTGGGAACTTACCCTCCAACTTCGTGGCCTGGTGCCTCACCGCTGCCCTGGGAGGGCTGCCTGGGGACAGGATGAGCTCCCTCTTTTCTCCTCCTCCTCCTCCCTTTCTCCTCCTCTCCCTCTCCCCTCCCTGTCCCCTCCCTCTCCCCTCTCTGTCCCCTCCTTCCCTCCTCCCTCTCACGCTGTGGGCTGGGCCTGGGCTGGGAGCTGAAGAAAGAAGTCGGCTCTCTGCCTCCCTGGCCAGGAGGACCCTGGGGAGGTTCCACCTGAGCCTGTGGAGGGTAGTCCTGCATCGCTCCCAGCTCTGTGGCATCCACCTCGCCCTCGGGAGGGCCACCCCTTCTGTCCCTCAGGCCACTCCCTGGCTGGTCCCTCCCTCTGGCCTCAGGAAAAACAGTAAGCAGTGAGGAGTTGGCGCCCCCCACCCAGGCCGAGCAAGAGGCTTTGCAGCCAGCCCCTGGGGGGCCTTTGTGCTGCTCTGCATCCAAAGGCATCTTAGGGAGAACTTGGAATCCTGAGTGACCCAAGAGTGGCCTGCACTCCCGGCAAGGCACCTCATCTTCCTCGTGAGAGGAGGGCCTTCTGCCGGGGTTGTGGCCGCACTCCTGGACCGGCTGTCAGGCAGGGTTCCAGAGTCCAGGGGCTGGGCCTTGTGACATTTGCCTGGTTGTGCCACCCAGCAGGCCAGGCTGTGTAGAGAGAAACCGACCCCAGTCCCACAGTCAATGGAGCTCTTTGAGTCCGAGCACAAAACCCCAGTGAGTCAGGGCTTGGGGAGGGCAGCGGGGAGGAAGCCAGCCGTGTGGCCACACCACTTGGATGCCGGAGCCTCCCAGAGGCTGGACAGGCAGCCACTGTGCAGCTGTGCAGACGCACAGACTCTTGTGGATGGACCGTTTGTCGCATTTACTCAGCTGAGCGGAGTGGGGGCAAGAGTGCCCTCTGGTGGCCACCTCAGCTGTCCCAGGCCGTTCAGGTTGGGCTCAGAGCTGTGTTCACTCAGCTAAAGGCAAGTCAGCCAGGCCCTGCTTCCTCAGGGCGATGTTGCAATCAGCCTTGGATCCTTGAGCCTGTGCCTTGGGGTCACAGCCCCTCAAAGGGCTTCTTGAAGCCCCAACAGTGCTCACACTGAGAGAAGTACTAGTTAGAGCAGTTAACGCCAGTTATTGTCCCTGGGACGTGGCATCCCAGACAGCCCTGCCTCTGTTCTGTCATCTCCCCTTGGGCCTCCCTACCCTGCGCCACGTTCTTGGTGGCAGGAATGGCTATTTGTAAGGAGCCTGAGAGAACTGTGGCACTTCTTGTGGCCTCTGCACCTGCCTCAAGAGTTGACAGCCACCCACAAACATAGGGATCAGAGATGTGACAGAGCCTCTTGGGCCAGCCAGAGACGGCTCCCTGTTCCCAGCATGGGCAGAGGCTGCCCACCCCCGGAGGGCTGCAGCAGGATGGAGGCAGAGGAAGACGAGAGGAGGACTCCAGGCGAGGCTCCGTCTCCCCCTGGCTGAAGGTCCCCACCTGTGACCGCTCATGGGCCCACCCTTAGAGGTTTATGATGGGACATATTACTACACGGCCATGCCTGCCTTAGCAATGCAAATATGTTTTGAGAAATTTAATCTGTCATTGTGCGGTCAGAGTGTGCTTACAGAAATCAAACGGCAATTCCAGGGAGAAGAAGGAAAAAAAAATCAAAATGGCATAGCTTCCTACACACCTAGGCCATGTGGTACAGCTTGTTGCTCCTAGACTACAAACCTGTACACCATGTTACTGTCCTGACTACCGTATGCAGTTGTAACAGTGGTATTCGCGTGTCTAAACACATAAACGTAGAAAAGGTACAGTAAAAATATGGTGTTAGAATCTTAGGGGATCGCCGTTGGAAGTCACTTCAGTTCATGACATCCTTTCATCCATCGGCGCTCAGCCCGTGAGGCCTGTGCCTTCCTGCACCACTTAACTGATGGGAATGTGTGGGCTTTAGGACGTGAAATGTGTCACCAAAAGGACGCAGCTTTCATGGCAGAGCCGGCATCTGCACCCGGAGCCTGAATTCTGCAGGATGTCCCATTGCCAGACGACAGAGGGGAGGTGCAGAGGCGTAACTAGACAGAGTGGGCTTCACATCCTGCTTCCCAGGAGACCCCGTATGTTACATGACTTTGGGAAAGTTCATTCCCCTCATGGTCCTCATCTGTGAAGTGGGCAGAGCTGAACGATGCCTGGTATGGCTCGGGTGAGATGAGGTGTGTGAGGCGCCTGGCATGGTGGCAGACATTGCAGTGCTTGCTTGGCCAGTGATTAAGGCTCGGGTGAACAGACGCCAGCAAGCTGGGCTCTCCACCCCTCACCTCTGCGGTGCTGCCTGCTCCAGGTGCCGCCATGCCGCCATTGCCAAGTACTTCGGGGATGCGCCGCCTGCCTGTGCTAAAGGCTGCGACCACTGCCAGAACCCTACAGCCGTGCGGAGGCAGCTGGAGGCCTTGGAGCGCAGCAGCACCTGGAGCAAGACCTGCATCGGGCCCTCCCAGGGGAATGGCTTTGACCCTGAGCTGTACGAGGGAGGCCGCAAGGGCTATGGGGGCTTCAGCAGGTAAGGGGCCAAGAAGCCAGGGATTCCCAACCTGAATCATCTGCATTCCCTTGGCACCAAGGCCAGACCAGAGGTGGCAGTCCCCCCTCTAGCTACTAGGACATTGGGGACATTGCCGTCCCAGCAGCAGCACACATGGGCAGAAACGGAGTCCAGGCCAGGACCGCTCACACCTGGCCTGTCCTAGGTATGATGAAGGTTCTGGAGGCAGCGGGGACGAGGGCAGAGATGAGGCTCACAAGCGGGAGTGGAACCTCTTCTATCAGAAGCAGATGCAGCTGCGCAAGGTGAGGGGCAGTGCTCGGTGTACCTGCTCGCTGCTCTGCTGCTGGATGGGACTGTCCTGTGGCAGGGCAGGATGCCTCATAGGCCCTTCACGTTGTCTTCCAGGGCAAAGACCCCAAGATAGAAGAATTCGTACCCCCAGGTCAGTACAGAAATGTTCCTGGAGGCTTGTGGGCTCTTCCCGGGGCATAGAGGGAGGATTCTCATCCGGGGTGTGGGGGACTTCAGAGAGCAGAAGGTGGAGTGGAAGGACCCCCCTCAACTCCCCACAGATGAGAACTGTCCCCTGAAAGAGGCTTCTAGCAGGAGGATCCCCAGGCTGACTGTGAAGGTAAGAGATGGGCAGCTCCTCAGCCACCCCCCAGTGCCCTCCCCCAGCCCCAGGCCATGTGACCAACTTCACTCTCCTGTGCCAGGCGCGGGAGCACTGCCTGGGGCTTCTAGAGGAGGCGCTGAGCAGTAACCGCCAGTCCACACATACCACTGATGGGTGAGTTCCACGATCGCCAGACTGAGGAGCCCTCTAAGCTCTCGTTCCCTTGGAGACTACAGGACCCTGTCACCCCCAGTACCTCACCAGGGCCAGGAATGGCCACAACTTAGGTGCTGCCAGCAGCTGCTGAGCGACAGTAAGCCACAGGGTGCCCAGAGAGTCCTAGTCAGAATCTCTGTGCCCAAGGCCTTCCCCAGGCCCCGAGTCCCACAGGAGCTTGGCAGCGAGAGCCCCAGGCCCGCCTGACACCATGTGCCTGTTACCTTGCACCTCCAGAGCTGACCTCCGGGCCCAGGCCGTGGAGCTGGAACACGAGACCTTTCGGAACACCAAGGTGGCCAACCTATACAAGGCCAGCGTGCTGAAGAAGGTGGGCCTGGTGCAGGCAGACTGAGGGTCATTGAGGGGGCACCTCCACACTCTGAGGCAGAAGCTGTCTGCCAGCCATCTGGCCACAGGCAGCCCAGAACCCACCCTCCGTAGTCCACCCCAGAGGCAGTTCATGGGGGTAGACCTCCATTCTCTGCTAGCGGGAGGTGTTTCTAGTCAACCCTGTGAGGATGCGAGGACTAAAACTTGCCCAGTGGTCGGGTGCCTGCAGCCACTGGCCACAGAAACCCACTTCTGGTGCCTAGTGGAAAAGGAGGGCTGGGTGGGGGCTGTCAGGGGGAACTAGCAGGTGCCACAGCCTCCCTGCCCATTCCTGCCCAGGTGGCCGAGATTCACAGAGCCTCCAAGGATGGACAGCCCTATGATGTGGGAGGCAGTGCCAAGAGCTGCAGTGCCCAGGCTGAGCCCCCAGAGCCCAACGAGTATGACATTCCACCAGCCTCCCATGTGTACTCGGTGAGCTGGGACCCAGGGGTCCCCAGACCTGTGGCCGGGAAAGGCTCTGCTTCCCCTCTGCCTTCTGGGGGTGCACCTCTTGCTATGGCCTTGATCCCCAGCAGGGCCCTGCCTGCCTCTTTCCTCCCACCTCCTGAGAGCCCCGCCCCAATGTGAGTGACTGGCCCAGCCAGTGGTGCCCTAGAGGGGGCCTGGTGGGCTGAACTTCCTCTCCTGTTCACATTTACAGCTCAAACCCAAGCGAGTGGGAGCTGGTTTTCCCAAAGGCTCTTGCCTGTTCCAGACAGCCACGGAACTGATGGAGACAACTCAAATCAGGGAGCAAGCCCCCCAGCCTGAGCGGGCAGGCGAGCACGACCCCCCGAGCCGGCCCTGTGGCCTCCTGGCTAAGGATAGGAGTGAGCCCCTTCCTGGGCCTAGAGGGGAGGTCCCTGGAGGCATCGTTCACTGTGGGGGGCCCTCCTCTGAGAAGAAAGCAAGAAGTTCCTCCAGGGCCAGTTCCCTTGCCAAGGGCCGGGCTAGCAAGAAACAGCAGCTCCTAGCCACATCGGCCCACAAGGATTCTCAGAGCATCACCCGCTTCTGCCGAAGGGTTGAAAGCCCAGCTCCACTGGCATCAGCCTCAGAGGCAGAAGGTGTCCACCCTTCCTGTGGGGGGGTTCAGGGACCCCCGATGGCCCCAAAGACGTGCACAGGGGAGGAAGATGGAGCCGGGGGACATTCGCCTGCCCCTCCCCAGACTGAGGAGTGCCTCGGGGAGAGGCCAAGGTAAGGGTACAGGTAGTCATAGACTGTTCTGGAATCCACGTGGCAGCATCCCCTTTGCTCACTGGGCCTCTGAAGCTCAGGGCTCATCCCTAAGATGGGCTCTTCTAGGATGAAGGAGCCGCTAGGACCCAGAGCTGTGATGCCTGCTCTTTCCTCCACCAGCACCTGCCCGCCCAGAGACCAGGGGAGCCCTGAAGCCCAGCCCACCCCCACAAAGGACACACAGAAGGGCAAGCGACCCCAGTCCCAGCAGGTACCTGCAGGGATTAGGCCGTTGGGGAGGACAGGAGGGCTGTGGGCAAGTTGTGCCCTAGTCACAGGGACCAGGGAAAATCAGCGCTGCTTTCCACACGCAGCAGCAGATAGGCTGGGCTGGGCTGGAGGGAGCCTGCTGGTGTGGGGGCCCAGTCTTCTAGAGGAGGGGAGCAGGCCAGTGGAAGGGAGCTCAGGAGTGACCCTCTGCTGTGGCCCTTCTCAGGAGAACCCAGAGAGCCAAGCTCAGAAGAGGCTGCGCCCCTCAGCCAAGCCCTCTGTCTTAGCTGAGGTCAAGAGTGGCATCTTGACCCAGCGATCAGGGCACCATGAATCCCATGGCTCAAGACCCCTGCCAGCTCTCAGCTCCTGGCATCCCCTTGAAGGAGGCTGCAAGTGTTGTGGTCAAGTGCCTGACCCCTTTCTACAAGGAGGGCAAGTTTGCTTCCAAGGTAGGGTGAGTGGGTGGGCTCTGCCCTCTCCCAGGCCTGGGATACATGGGTGTAGTGGGTGCGGGAGGCAGGGAGTGTGAGCCCAGAACGCAGTGGACCAGAGCAGGTTGGGCCCAGGGCCAGCCCAGCACCTGCCCTCCGAGGGACCTGCCTTGCTGTTGAGTCGTGGCTGTGGGTCCTCTTGGGGTCAGGGCTGGGTCCTGCTCTCTGCTTCTCTTCTCCCTCTCCCTTCCAGGAGTTGTTTAAAGGCTTTGCCCGCCACCTCTCACATTTGCTGGCTCAGAAGACCTCTCCTGGAAGGAGTGGTGAGTGCTGGCATTGCCAGGGCCAAGAGGCACTTGGGGTGGGGGAAGCGGTCTGTGGGGAAGAGGCTAACGCTCGCCTCCTCGTGCCCCCAACCTGAATCTGTAGTGAAAGAAGAGGCCCAGAACCTCATCAGGCTCTTCTTCCATGGCCGGGCCCGCTGTGAGAGTGAAGCTGACTGGCACAGCCTGTGTGGCCCCCAGAGGTGACCAACTGCTGGCTGGGCAGGGCCCACGTCCTTCCCCAGACTCTAGCCTGGGCCTTGCCTGCAGCTGCCAGGCCGTCGTCATCTCTCAGTCCTTCCACCTGCCAACCATACTTGGCTTTGGTGATGGCCCCAGATGCCTCCTGAATCCCGGTCAGAGGTCAGCTACCTTTCTTTCTGCTTGCAAAGCCAGTGGACCTTTCTCAGAGCCTCCCTGCCTCTCCTGGCCCTCATGGCTGAGTTTTCTGGGACACATGTCCAGGGCAGAAGGCGGAGGATGGTGGAGCTGCTGCCAGAGGAGGGGAAGGAAGAGCGGCCCCTCTACACATTTAAGTCTGGACAAGGCCCACCTGTCCAAGGTATTGGGACCTACTCAGGGGAACCTCAGGTCCTCGCCCATTCCCCCCCCCGCCCCATTACAGTGCCAGCTTCCAGCTTTGCCCAGGTTAGAGCTGTGGCAGGGGAGTGGCAGCCAGGCCCCATTCCCTGCTCAGCTTCTGCTTAGGAAGGCCAGGCCTGACCAAGAAGTTTAGGAGAGGAATAAAGTCATTCTGCTGCATATGCGTGCACACACAGCCCTTTTTATTTCCTCAGCAGTTGTTTCCCCCAGGCCTGGGTGAGCCTGGGGCCGGGTGGGCATCTCCCTCAGACTGGGCAACCTCAGATGCCCCAGCTGAGTTCCTGCAGTCCCCTTTGGGCCCAGGCCATCCTGGAGAGGGTCTGTTTGTTTTCTTTCCCTGTTGGTGACATGATAGCAGCCCCTGCCCTCGTGGCCGGTTTTGGAACAGTGATCTGATAGCTTCCGAGGCAGACCATCAGGGTAAGACTTGGGCCAGGGAAGGCCTCTTCCTGGTCTCCACCCCGCGCGTGCTCCTCTCAGTTGATGCTGGGCCACTCAGTGCAAGAGGCATTGCTGTCCATCAGGAAGACAGTGGTGTATAGCAGCTCCTGGGCCTACCCAGAGAGAGGACCTGTTACAGGAGGGCTCCCCAACCCGCCCCTTACCTTTGCCCTGCCCACAGCACTCTGAAGCAGCAGGCATCAGCCTGGGCTCCCGCTGCATGCCATGCCGGGGCAAGGCCCTCACATTCACCTTCCCAAGGTGGTCGGAGGCCTGGCCACTCACCTGCGGCAGCTCAAACCAGATGGTCTGGGGGTTGTCAGCGGAGCCATAGTTGAGTTCCAGGCCAGGGGGCCCCTTCTCCTCTAGCGGGCTTAGCAGGTGGACCCGCTGCAGGCTCTTCAGGGCAATGCGGCAGCACAGGCTCTGGGGGCAGCAGAGAGCAGGGTTGGGCTCCTCTCCCGGGAAGGGTCATTGGGGGAGGGAAGAGGAATGGCTGAGGGTCCCCAGGCCAGTGCTGGGGCTAGAGTCCTGCCCACCTGGGAGCTGGGGTCCATGAGGATGAGATGCTGGCGGTTGAGTCCCAGTAGGGCGGATCCGGGCAGGGCTTGCGTGCTCACTCGCAGCACCACGTAGACAGTGTGGCCAAAGAGAGGCAGCTGGCGCACGGCCTCTGGGGTTGGGGAGGACGCAGGCAGGAATTCTGACTGTTGGGGCCCTGGAACTCGTAACTGCTTGGCCCCCCAGGTCAGCTGAGAGGGACGAGGCAGGTGCAGACCCCTCCTCCCTCCTCTACCTGCATTCCTCCCCTCTTCGGCCTCCAGCCCCCACCCCAGCATACCCTAGCCTCAGACCCACCAATGAAGCTGATCTGTGCTTCCTGGGGCCTGTGTCCTTCCAGCCGTCTCAGCTCCTCCTCCATCAGGTTCTTGATGGAGGCCGTGTTCACCTGCCGGTGCAGCTGCTTTGGCACATAAGCCAGCAGGTCCTGCCTAGGAAGCACAGCCGGGGTCAGCTCGACCCCTGACCACCTGGTGCAGGGCTAGGCATACAGCATGCGCCAGATAACTGAACCAGTGCCTACTGTGGGCAAGACTAGGGATCCATACATGTGAGTGAGGTGAGGGCCCTGCCCCAGAGGAGCTCGGGGTGGGTGGAGAGGACAGGTGTCCACAGGCCCTGCTGCTCCAAGCCTGTCCAGTTAGGGCCAGGAAGGGTACTAGTCAAATGGCCTTGGCCTTGGAGAAGGTGAGGGGTTAGAGGCTGGAGGTGCCCCCACTCACTCTGAGGGAGTGTTCCTGTTGGCCTTGCTGAGGTGTTGCAGGGCGGCCAGCCTGGCGAGCTGTGCATCTGCCTGGGCACTGACGAGCAGCTTCCCCTGAAGATAGTCCCGTAGCACCTGCGTGGGGAGCAGGGGGAGGAAGGCAGTGGTGGCCCAGAGCCCCCATCAGTTGGCTCTAGAGGCCCAAGCCCACTTCTGCCACTGTCACACCCCAGCTACCACAGACCCACACCCTTGTGGGGAGGGGGGCTTGGGGGCAGGAAGCCATGCCCCAGGCTGCAGCGGCTGGAGGCAGGCAGGCTGACCTGGTTGTAGTGAGTGGTGATGTAGGTGGAGTTGTCGAAGTGCAGTGGGGTCTCCCAGCCGAGCCGCCGGCTGTGCAAGCTCACGCTCGGGTCCACCACGACATTGTTGAGGTACTCGGCGGGCCGCACGGGCCGCACCAGCTCGCCTGCAAGGGGAGCCCAGCTCCACTGCTGCTCAGACTACATGCACCCTGCCCCGCCACCGCAGCAGAAACCAAACCACCTCACCCCTGGGCAGGGGAGTGGTCCCACGGCAAGGCCCCATCCCCAAGCTCACCCTCCCCTTTGATGAGGAAGAGGGCGAATTCCTGCACTTCCTGTGGCTCCATGATACCCATTTGCCGGCACAGCTCCTCCTGCACGTCTGCTGCCACCTGAGCATGTGGACAGGCCGGGAAGAGGGGAGGGATGCTGGGGGGGCCCAGAACTGACACCCAAGGTCTCCTCCCTTGGGGGCCCCTGAACTCACCGTGAAAGTCTGGATATTCGTCCTATAATCCACACCCCCCGGCAGGTGAATAAGAAGCAGGCGGGTGGTTTGTCCTTTCTGCCAAGGCAGGTTGCAGGGTCAGTCCACCAGTGGTCAGAGGACCCTGCCCTCCTGGGGGGGCACCGCCCACCCCAAGGTGTCCCACAATGCCCATTCACCATCCCCAGTACCAGGAAAGCCTGCATTTCACCCGGTGGGGGCAGCCGCTGTCGCCCCCCATATTTGACTGTGCTCTGGAGGTGCTCCTGGCTGCTCCGGGCCAGCTCTGCAGAGGAGCCAGAATTGGGTCACAAGGTAGCCAGGCCTCCCCCAGCCTGCCAAGTTCCCAGTCCTAGAAGCCCCTGTTCCTCCTCCATCTCCCACTCTCACAGGCACCTTGGTTGAGGCCTGAATCCTGCAGGAACTTGGTCAGGTAGGGCATCAGCTTGGTCGACGGGGAGAAGAAGCCTGTGAGAAGACTGAGAAAGCTCCAGCCTCGAATGCAGCGTCCCCTGCAGGACAGAGAGCCCGGGCTTCAGGCTGGCCAGGCTACAGTGCCCAGCTGCCCCCAGGTGCCCACAGTGACCAGCTACCCCACCAGTCCCCACTCACGGCCGGGGGTGTCCCGTGACCTGCTTGATGACCTGGCAGTAAATCTCATCCCTGAGCTGCTCCTCCTGGCACAGCTGCAGGGACAGGAAGGGAGGTGGGGTGAGGCTAAGGCCATGGACGAGGGCCAGGTCAAGATGGCGTCTCACTCAGCTTAAGGGCATCACTGCGCTGGCCACTCAGTCACTTTCTTCCCTGCTTCCCTGTCTCCCAGACTGGAGTGCAGTGATGCCATCTTGGCGCATTGCAACCTCCACCTCCCAGGTTCAAGTGATTCTCCTGTCTCAACCTCTGGAGTATTGTAGGCGTGTGCCGCCAGGCCCGGCTAGTTTTTGTGTTTTTAGTAGAGACGGTGTTTCACCATGTTGGCCAGTCTGGTTTGGAACTCCTGACCTCAGGTGATCCATCTGCCTCTGCCTCCCAAAGTGCTGGGAATACAGGCGTGAGCCACCGCGCCTGGCCCCTGCTTCTCTGACCTCTTAGTCATCTCTGCTGGCTCCACCTTAACTCCCTGACCTCTGAGCAGTGCCGTGCCAAAACCGCTCTCTGTCTGCCCCTATCCTTGTGGCCTCAGCTGCTCCCATCTGATGCTCCCTGGTGCCTGCCTTCAGCCTTCTCCCTTGAACCCCAGACTCTTCCACTGGGAAGTCTGGGATTTCAAGCCTTAAGTGTCCAAAACAGATTTCCTCCGCCAGCCAAGACCTGCTCCTTGTTGAAGACAGTTGTCCTCCTTCCCGTAGCCCACATGAGATCGGTCAGCAAACCTGCTGGCTCTGAATCTTCTGCTTCTTCCCTTGCTGCTGGCCCTGGGCCCAGGGCAACACCATCCCTCACCTGGGACCACTGCGATAATTCCTTTTGCTTTTAAACTTAAACCCCCAGAATCTCAAACAACAGCTGAGTGACCCTGCAGAATGTAAGCCGAACTTCCCGAAGCCTCTGGTGGTTTCCCATCTCCAAAAATCAGAGGCTGATGATGGTACAAGGCATGCGGTGGCCTAGACTCCCCATCCGCACCCTGTTCTCATCCTCAGCTCTCCCCACCACTCCGGCTCAGCTGTGCTGGCCTTGCCAGTGCGTGATGGTTTCCCTCCCTGCAGGAAGGCTCCTCCACTGCAGCATCCCTTTCCCTGCATTCTTACTCTCCAGGGACCTCTCACTCCCAGACACATAACGTCCCTGTCTTATCATAAGCACTGCAGAGACAACCTGTTGGCTTCACAGCCATGCCCTCTGCACGCAGTGGGTGCTCAGTAAATACTTTGGAAAGATTTGAAGCACAGTGACCAAGAGAAGGGGATCTCCTTTGGGCCCAGGCAGGAGGACAGGCACAGGCACTGGGGGTCACATCCAGGCTTACCTTCAGCAGCTCATAGAGCAGATCCATGTCATCCTTGCCCCGGGGCTTGGACTGGTCGCCCATAAACTGCATCAGAGCTGCAGGCAGGATAAGAAATAGGGCAGACTGGGCTGGGGCTGGCCCCAGTTCACGCTGTCGCTGTGCAGGGCCTTCATCTGCCATCTGATGCCTCACAAAATGTATATGTGCCAGGCAGGGCAGCTGGTTGCCATTCAACTCGGGGAAACTGAGACTCATGGGTACCCAAGGCTCCACACAGCACATAGCATCTTCTGGACCCATGGACTGCCTTCCAGCCCCAGACTCCACACAACCCACAACCCTTGGATGGGAGTAGAAGCGGGTGAGGGCCCTGGGGTCCAGGAGCTATCACTGAGCTTCCCAGAGTTGGCAGAGTGGGACAGAGCCAGGCAGAGCTCGAAGGAGAGAAGGGCACCAGACACCCAGGTCCACAGCACTGCAGACATAGGGACCCAGGATGCCTGTGGCCACTCACCCAGGAAGCTGACCACAGCCTGCTTGCTCATGTCATCACTGAGTATGAGGAGCGACTCCTGGATGGGAGCCTGCAGCCAAAGAGAAGAGGCTGTGGGTCTGGGGCCGCCGGGGATCAGAGGGCAGATACACCGGCCAGACCCCTCCCCGCCTCTCCCCCTACCTTGGTGTACTGCACCAGGCTGT